TCCACCACAAAAGTTACCCCCCCTTCCAGCAGATAGGTAACCCCCCTCCACCAAAGAACTGTCCAAAATGCAAAAATAAAGTTTGAATTCTGACTCCTCTAAATTTTGCAATATCAATACAGAAGATAAATTCCTACTAGTGTGCACTGTTCAGTATAAGTTTAGAAAAGTTTGCTGTTTTATTGTCAAAAAGTTAGAAAAACTAGAAGTTTATTGGTCTATAAAACCTTTCAAGATATACAGCTAGAACCAGCCAACTGGGTAATGAAGTGTTTTTATCAGAAATGTTGCTAAAAATTTCTTTCCTTGTATGTGAGCTTTAAAAATGTTCAAAGGTCAGAACTTTACACGGATATATGGAAAGTGAAAGATCTCTTGACTCTCAAAAAGTTGTCATAGTTATATAGTATTCAATTTAACTTAGGGCAAGTTTTTAGAAATAATTCAGTTTCCAATTCGTATTTATAGAAAATGTTTACTATAATTGGATAGCCAAAGTGTACAATTAAACTTCTATTGTCAATGTCATGAATAGTAATAAAGCAGAATACAGTAGGTTTTGAAATGGGTGAAAGAGTACTTAATGAATTTGAATAATGAAAGATAGTGAATTACCCTCCGGTATATTTAAACCCTTGATCTGATCTAGAAGATATTATTTATTAATATATAGTTCATACTTGATCAGACAAAGCTTTTAAAGTTATGAATCGGATATAAAATCGTCGGATGGAGAGTCACTTGAAATTACGCTTACATTCCCTTTAATTATTCAGATCTCGGAAATATTCAACCCCTGAAGGAGTTCGGATGTTTACAACACGCTCCATGAGCCAATCCTATCATAGGTAACAACCAAAGGCGTGTACACAGGGGGATGGGGGCTCAGAGCTGAAAACTTTAGAATGGATATCCTTAATCCCGAACGGTTAATTAATCTGTAGATTAATAACAAGAGGAGAACAAGTAATATTTAATCTCGAGATTAAGAAAAAAATGGACGAAGCTTTAATCCCGATATCCACCATTCAAAAGTTTCCAGCTCAGAGCCCATGGATGAGTAAAATATATGTTTTCCAGGAGGTTTTAGGGCCCAAGAAAAGCTCCGTTTATAAATAAGGGCATGTCCTATTTAAAACGGCACACTCACATAAATTTCAATATATTATTGATTTGGCCCGGCACTAGAATTGAACTGGAGTTTATAGTGACCTTGAAACCTTGATCTGAACAAACGTAATTAGTTCTGATAAAACATAGAGATATAATTCATACTTGAGCGAACAAATCTTTCAAGGATCCACTGTTATAAATCAAACATGACATTCTATGAATTACGTGTATGTACAGTCCCTTTAACTGATTTGTTTGTAGAAGCACGAGCACCAACAGTACTACCAGCCCTTGTACCAGCCAAGCAAACCATCGTATTAGATCTAGGACACCAGACGAGGAGTTTTCCCCATCCAGGTAATTAAAGGGACTGTTCTCCACATACAGGTAAGAATTAAAGGGACTGTTCTCCACCTCCAGGTAGGAATTAAAGGGACTGTTCTCCCATCCAGGTAGGAATTAAAGGGACTGTTCTCACATACAGGTAAGAATTAAAGGGACTGTTCTCCACCTCCAGGTAGGAATTAAAGGGACTGTTCTCCCATCCAGGTAGGAATTAAAGGGACTGTTCTCCCATCCAGGTAGGAATTAAAGGGACTGTTCTCATCATCCAGGTAGGAATTAAAGGGTCTGTTCTCCCATCCAGGTAGGAATTAAAGGGTCTGCTCTCCCCACGGAAGGGAACTAAATCCCTTTTAATGGGTCGGATCTATATAGGAAGTTTTTTTTTGAAATATAAAGGTTGTAAAGGTTTAGAAAATAAAAATTTGGGGGAAACTAATGTTATTATCAGTTCCTTTGTTTCATTGATGAAGTACGAGCAAATTGCTTCATTACAATAAAAATGTTAAAAATGTTATAAAAGGAAAAGTAAAAATAATTTCTTTTTTATACAATGTTCATGATTAAATAATGGAAATTTTGTTTTCATGTTTAAAACATTTTAAAATATCTGAGTTAGCAAAAATACAATGCTATCAAACAAGAATTTATTTGTAAATGTATTTTTTTTACATTATATTCCGTGTTTTTTTTATTGAGCAACGTTACTGAAGATGTATTAACTAATTTTTAATGTTATTAAAATTTATTTTCACACAAAATTAAAAATTACGTAAAAAGTATTTTTTAAATTTACACGCGCATTTGTTCAAACAATTAAAAATTACAAAATCGATATTTCTTCATTAAATGAAAGGACAGCAACTTTTCCATAGTTTTCATAATACATTTAAAGTAATTGTTTTTTAATTAATTTTTTTGAAATATTAAACTTAAATAAATCACAAACTAGTACATAAAACGAGTCAAATTATTTATTTATGTCATTGTAATGGGTATTATTAAGTGCGAAAAAGTTTTTGCCGGGATTTTTACTTTTTCTAATTTGTTTGAGATTAAAATGAAAGTATTGACTGATAAAAAAGTAGCAATATTTTCCTCTTCAAAGAAGCCAAAATTTACCACTATCCCTTCTTTAGAACTTAATAAAAATGTAATCCTTTATTGATCCTTCTTTAGAACTTAATAAAAATGTAATCCTTTATTGATCCTTCTTTAGAACTTAATAAAAATGTAATCCTTTATTGATCCTTCTTTAGAACTTAATAAAAATGTAATCCTTTATTGATCCTTCTTTAGAACTTAATAAAAATGTAATCCTTTATTGATTCTAAATTTTTTCATCTTTAACCATTCAAAACCCTACGGCCCTGGAATCCTTCATGAATGAAAAAATTGGGTCCGATCGGTTTTGACGTTTATTGGATACAAACATGCAAACTATATATGTAGAAAGCTTTTAGAGCGCGATTATGGCTCTATCTGTAAGCAACTTCTCTTTGAATATAAAACAACTAGGCTTTTGTGCCCATCTCCTATTTCAATTGTGAACATGTTCTCTGTATACATTGTAAAATAAAACAAACAAAAATTTCGCGAATTTTATAAAAAAAATTGTGGATTTTCAAAATCTCTAAAAATCGACTTTTGATAGAGACAAATTTTTGTAAATTTGATCATCCACGGGGGTCACGCGAGGTCCCACAAAAATGTGGGCCCGATCGTTTCAGCCGTTTTAACGTTTATTGAATAAAACAGACAGAAGAAAAAAAATTCGGATTAATTAATATTTTTACAGTTAATATTAATATTTTAGGTTTAATATCTACACGCTGCATCATAGAAGCCAAATACTTCGTAATAAATCTGAATCCAGCTACTTGGTCACTAGCCCGGGCAGAGATATGGTTACTCATTATCAGCCAGTATCCAGGTATACTTGGAGAACTCATCTTAATGGGGTAAAAGTGACTGTTCTTGCAAATATGGCAATGTGCGATGTTACCAAGGTATCCTTCTTGCAAATCTCATGTCACATAATCCCAGAACGGTCACCTAGAAAACCTGAAAATGTGGAAGATAACAAAGTTTTTCTGTCTCGAAGAGTGGTTATTTATATGAATTTCTTCATTGTTTCACTTTCTTTTCTTATAAGCAATAAATGCGTGAGTCATTTTTGCTTTAGATAAACAAAACATCCAAATAAAATTTATACTTGATCAGACACAGCTTTAAAGGGTATATCGTTGTGAATCGGGCAAATTGTCATCTTAATCTGAAGGTCACCTGAAATTACGCTTCCAGTCCCTGTAAATTTCGGAATTGTTGATTAGCCAGTCAGAGACCAGATTTAACAAGTATTAAAAAGAAGTTGAACTTTGCACCACCGGTTTAACCAGTTCTCTTGTGCGCCGGGCCAAGTTGAAAAGAAGTGGTTCATTCTAATCTACATAGTTTAACTTCTTCTCATATAGATTCATTGAATCTGGTCCCCAGAACTGTGGACACGTAGTTCAACTAGCCTTTTCTAGCTGAACTCATTCTACCTAATTATTTTTTTTTATCTAAATTTGACCTTTTTACAGGTTGGGTCAAGCCACATGATTTATTATTATTAACGGGACTGAGGAAGACATTTAAAAAAGCCCTCCAATTTAAAGAGTGACATGTCTGATTTGCAACTTTACACTTATAATCTTTATCTGGGTAATAATTGGTAAGAGAATGTCGGTTTTTTTAACACTAAGAATGGTTGACCGAGGAAAATAAGTTCTGCTTTATCTGATCTATATATAAAATCAGCATGATAATTTTTCAGTAATTATCAAATTGTAGAATAGTCAGATTCAATCATTTTGCTGAGATTAAAGTTTACTATTTTGTTAACTGGAAATACTTTTAATAAAGTCCCGTGAAAATTTATCTAAACTTTCAGGCGATCCCTAGCTAACCTTGGGTCTAGAGCTACTCGTAAATATTTATAATAATCTAAACTTTCTGACGATCCCTAGCTAACCTTGGATCTAGAGCTACTCGTAAATCTTTATAATAATCTAATTTTTAGGCGATCCCTAGCTAACCTTGGATCTAGAGCTACTCGTAAATCTTCAGACTTCCTCTCTTGGCTACCCAACAGATCAAGGTATTGATTTTTTTAGCAATTTTTTTAGATTTTGCTTTCCCTTTTCTTAGAACCAATTTATCTTCCACTCGATTTTTTTAAAATCGTACTTTCCAATAAACAAAACTTTTTACGGAAAAATGCATTTTCAAAAATAATAAAATATCTACATTTTTTTTCCGGGAATTATTTTAAAATTTGACAGTTCAGAAACCTTCCTTGTGGTCATGTGAGTTGTTACAAAAACAAATTTTGTCCGATTTGGTATAGCCGTTAATTTGAATCAAATAGACAGAGAAGTTAAGTATATAAGCGTCATGAAAAGCCGACTGACACTGTTGTTTAAAGGTCTCACGCTCTCAAGTAAAAATTGATGAGAATTTTGCCAATTACTTCTTAAAAACCAAAGTTAACAACAAATTCTTTATAGTGTTAAATGTACATGTAAAGGACTACAGAAAAGCATAAGTGAGTTAGAGCGGTATAATCAAAGCTTAAGACGTAGCGACACTTCAAAGTTGACACTGTCTTAAAAATTGATTAGACTTTTTATAAGCAAACTGAATCTATGTGCTGAACAGATCATCCCCCCCAGGAATGGGTTATTGGCATGGCCGGTCAGAATAAGATAAATTTGTAGGATTAAACTAAAAATATTCAGGTCGCGTTCTCGACCTGACGCCAAGTCAATGGAAAACCTTCAATCTCCTACCAGCAACAACAGGTTTTTATAAATGGAGTCGGGGAAGAATCGGAGACACCAAACATTTTTTCGTAGACCACCAAATTTTCATCGGAGACTCCCAAATTTGATTGGAGAGAACGGGGTCTCAGATTAAAAGTTTGGAGTATCCAATGAAAATATGGTAGTCTCCGATGAACAATTTTCGCAACTTTTTTGCTAAATTTTTGCATTTTTTCACAAATTTTAGCATTTTTTGCGAGCGAACGAAATGCGAAAATTAAGCGAAATGGTCGCGAAACGATTTTTCATTTTCGATGGAAACAGACTGTGCATAAATTAAAGATACCTTTTTAGATCTTATGATTATTTTTTTAACTAATAAATATTAGTTTTATTAACGAAATTGTTCTAATAGGTCCCTAAACGCGAACTACAGGCTCTCCCACAAGTCGCTGAACTTTGTCAGCGCCGACGAAGCTGGATTGCTCATCTCTGATACAGGCCCGCCGGTCGGCGGTGGTGCATCTCCCCGTCCAACCCGCCGGCGGTTTTCAGGTAAAGAAACTACTTAATAATAGAATAATTTACTTAAGTTTTTGTTATTTCGCATCTATTTTTGATAAAAGAAATGAGTCTTTCCCATAAATTCGAATTTTCAAGTACCTTTTTATTTGCAACCTGATGGCGTAAACCTCTTATATTTCAAATTATTATTTGAGCCAGCAGAATTCTTAGTTTAAAATAGCTAAGGTCTATATCATTGGGTCGCAAAGATAAGGGATTAGAAAGTCAGAGTTTGTGGAAATTCCTTTATCAAAATCTGTATAGAGATAATATAAATAGAAAAAGCCAGGCATACCGTCTCAAATATGATTAATGTTACAAAAAAGCCGATTTTCGCTCTGAATTCGAGCGCAAAGATACGGTCCCTTTGTCTGAAACACTCTACTGGACGTTTTTCGGGTTTTTACAACAACAACAGCCCAAAAAATTTAAATTTATCATATTTCAATGCCGTCTGTGAACTATTATTTACTAAAAAATGAAAACTTTTGATATTTGAGTTTTATAAAAAATGTTATGTTTTAGAAATAGAAATTTAAAAAAAAACATATAATAGTGTCTAGACAAAGGAACTGTCCCTTAGCGTTTGCCAAAATCTAATAGGCATTATACCAATATGCCAACAAAGCCTTTATTTAGACCCACTTTTGGTGGTTGGATGGATACACATTTTGGTTTTTCAAATATCATACTTTAAATATTTTGAATGAATAATATTATTTTTATTATTTATTATTGTTATTATTTCTAGGTTTGAAGAAATCGTTTAGCTTGAAACAGAAGAAGTCGACTGGTGGCCCACTCTACGTAGATATTGATACTCAAAATTTGTGAAAAATTGCAGATTTTGTTCAATTAACCTAAAATCTAGTCATCACTTCATTAGTCAGAATTTTAATAGTTATTTTCCTAAGGAAAGCTAATTTTTATGATTTATTTGGGGTTTATAGTTAGTTTCTAGAACTCTTTCATTTCTAAATAGATCTCTTTAAATATACTCTCTGTTTTGTAGACTTTTGATTTAAAAAAAACTTTTTAGACTTCTAAATTCCTTTTTAGAGTTTTTGTAAAGTACTATTTAAATTTTATTTGTTTAATCAAGCACTGTGTAATTCAGAAAACAAATGATTGTAGGTTAAGAGAAAAAAGACATAATTTCATTTTCTCCTTGCATAAAATTTGTTAACATTTTTTACGCCAATGCAGTTAATGCAGTGCACTGAGAGCTGTTTCCAATTTTGAATAAAATATTTCAAATACAAACCCTTCCCCCCCCCCATTCAACCCATCATTTAAACACTTTATAATTAAAAAATTTACAAATAAAAAGTGAAAACATAAAATAATCGTCCATATTTTTAAGTTCAAAAAGAAAAACGTTTAACAGAATTTTAAACAATCAGCGCTATTCTTTTAAATGTTTGAGAATTGATAAATGGAATATTTTACAAGTTTATTACAAAACTGCCGCCTTATTTTAACGTTTATCTAGGGCTGGGCACGTTATAGCACGTTATTCAATCCGATCGTTAACGGTTAGATAAATTAACGGAACGAACAGGCTCATCAAGCAGTAAACGTTTACGTTAACTAATAATCAAACTTGCAGTTAGGTTAACGTTTCGTTAATAAATTTCCCGTTGCTCTTAATTAACGGCATGAACGGTAGATATATATAGATGTATATAAACAAACCAAAGTTTGTTCAGTTCGTTACGAGAGTTGTACTTTTATCTGATATTACAATTAATGGTATTTTCCGTTCGTTAAAGGGACTGTCATTGTAATTTTAAGCGATCTTCAATTAAAATAAGAAAAAAGAGGGATATTCACAATAATACCCTTTCAGAGCAAGAGTAGGAAAAATATCATCGTAGAGAAACCATGATTTGAAAATAAAGAGCTTTAAAGAGTTAAATAGGGATATCTCATGAAGTATTTTAACAGAAACCGGTTTGAACCTAAAATGCCAATCTGTAAATATAGAGAATCACATGATATTAAGGCTACAATCACCTTAACGGCATATTTCGTTTTCTTACAAAAACTGCCGGTCTTTAAAGGACCGTTGCCTAGCTTTGCTTTATTCACATAATTCTATTTCTTAAATAAAAGTATATATTACATATATTATATATATATGATATATATTGTTTATATGTTAATTTTACTTTTGACAAAAGGCAACGTTGTAAATTGATGTAAAAACACCAAATCGCATACAATAAATTTTAACATGTAATTGGTATATTTTAAATTGTAAATAGCATTTACTATTTGAATAAATTAGGAATCAGCAAAGTACCATTTCCAAACCTTATTTTTCTACAAGGTGTACAATATACATAAAAAAACTTTAAATTTTGTTATTAAGAGAATTTCAAAAGTCAATATTATAATTTGGATGTTTTTCATCTTAAAACATAATCACTGTAAACTTGGAAAACGTGTGATTTTTAAAGCACAATATTTACATGTAGATGTCAAGTTTATAAATATATGTTGATTTCTATAGTTTATTCCTTCAATTGAGAGAAAATTAACAACTTTTTCTTCGATATTTATTAAAATAAAAAATATTTTTCTGTTTTATTTGATATTTTTAGGAGAAAGTTTTCAATATTTTGAAGGAACATTGATCGACCGGAAACATATAATTTGTCCGAACAGGCCGATCATCAGTTCAGTCGTTTTTATTTTTTATGCAAAAATGTTTTTTATCCTTCATTCTTTGACTATTCACAATTTAAAGTCATAATTCGAGTCTAAAGGTCGTCTTCATATTCCAGAGTTTTCACTGTATTTGCTAATTTTTGGAAGAAGTCTTAGTTTTAACTTAAGCTCGATTTTTCGATTTGCTTTTAACTTATTGTTTGAAAAATTATTTGAGCGTGGCTTTATCAATAAATTCATTTTCAGAGGTTAAATGTTATCCCAGGCTCGAGCAAGTTTTGAAATAAATCCCAGTTATAGTTAGAATAATATTCTAGAGGGACACCTGGAGTAAATTATTGCTTTCAACTTCTGCTTAAAGGGATTGTAGACGTAAGTTAACCTTCATTTATAAAGGGACTTGTCCGATTCACAATGTTTCCCTTAACATACAACGAGGTTATAGTATTTAAAGTGATGTACGCATAAATCCTTTACTAATTGTACAGGCCGTGTACACCACTTTCAAAGGTGGGGTGAGTTCTGAAAATATTTATTTTTATTTAGGCAGAAACGTATTTTAAAATAGAGAGGGATATACGGTTCACGATGGTACCCTTAAACCTCTTGAAGAAATAAAATAGAAGTACACAAATATCTGTCATTTCTGCGCAGACCAAGGTTTAAAGAGCACCGTTGTGAATCTAGCATATAACCCTGAAAATGGACGGTCATAATATATGAACAAATTCTTGAGCTATTTCTTAAAATAAATTATTTGAAAATTACTCTTCCTAATATTCCTTATCGACATGTGGTTCAAAATATACTTTATCAGCTTGTATTGTAGTTAAGATAAGATAAGAACACGGGTTGAGCACAGGGAGGAAATTTCAAGAAAAAAAAATTATTTAGTTCCTTTTTTCACTGAACTATCGTTAGTAAAATTGTTATTTGAATAAAAATCGAAAAAACGTTCGCTCAGTAAAAAAAGAAAGTTTTGAAAAATGTTCAGATTTTTTTGTAGTGCGCAAGGAGCCCAAGTCACTTTGATTAATACTCAATTAGACATAGCTTTCAAGGGTACCGTTGTGAATCAGACATTGCCATCTTTGCATGGAGGGTCACTTGAAATTATGCTTAGTCCTTTTAATGTTGCAACTAATTAATAGCTAACCTTAACATTAACGCTTTCCAACTAGTTTCTCTTAACAAACTACAATCATTTTTTTATTTACTAAGTTAGCTCTTTACTCGTAAGTTCTTTAAAACCCTTTTGTTGCAATAGTTCTGTATGGAAAAAGAATATTAGGTACAGATAAACTAAATAGATTTATTTCATGAAAATCGTATTTAATATTACAATAGAAAATACAAAAAATAAACAGGTGCTAAAGAAATACAAAAATTACAAAAATTGTGAACTCCCTTCCAAAAACATATTTTTACATTAACAATAAGTCAGTAGTGTATACTGTTAAGCATATTTTTAAAAATAAATTTTTTGGTGATTTTGGGAAGCAAATGAGAAATTGGACATCAAAATGTCTGTTTATCATTCTTTTTGACTTGATTTTCTCCAAATTCCAAATTCAACCAATATACCTTAAATATAACTCTGGGAAAAAAACTATTTTAAATGGGGGAAATGATTTCAGAAAAAAAACACACCTGCAATAAGGAACTTGATTTTAAATTAAACCTTTAATTTTTATAACTCAATAAATAGAAAATAAAAAAGAAAGAACTGTAAATGTCTTTTCTTCCTTTTCCTCATTTTAAAACCATAGATAATATTTTTAGATCATCAATATTTCATTTAATTAAATATAATAGAAATTAAATAAAGAACTTTAAATATCAAAAAAAGTTAATAGTTTTAAATAATATTTGTTCCATTTTCTTCTCCATTCATGAATAATGCCGATTTAATCCGTTGAACCCAAGCTCGGAACTTTTTTTTTAAAGATTGCGCTAATCCACCCTCCGGAATTCTAGCGGAAACTGTTAATTTAAAACGATTAAGTGTTAAAAGCTTAAATTTGTGAAAAATTTTATTATCTCTCATCAGCCATTAAAGATATTTAGAAGAAATCAACTAAATCCGTGGATCAACACAATAAACGGATTAGTACTTACTTCAGGGATTAACATAACTAAAGTTCCGACCTTACTTTGTAAAAAACATCTATGAATTGTGTTTACTCTTCATGTGCTCTATCATCCCTGTTGGTGAAGTAAATCTGCTTTCACATTTAGGACAGGGGTATCGACCTGCAAATAAGTAAATTCTAATATAACAAAAAACAATTAAATTAACTTGTTACAAGACTAAAAATTAAGTACACTCAATTGATTTTTTCATTCTTATTTAAAAAGTTTTTTTATTCCCTTTATGCAAAATTTCATGCAGTAATCTCCAAAATACAATGAACTACAGAATAGTTTATAATCTCCCGCTTTATCTTTAAAATAAGATTACAAATGACCATATTATTTAAACAATACGGTTACAAAAAAATAATGATTTTCAAATTAACACAATTAAAAACGTTTATTCATTGCCCTCTCATGTTCTTGTATAAACTTAACGTTACTCTGACAGAAAACATAAAAAAAACCATTTTTTAAAATTTCTATTGTCTTATGAAGAACGAGCTTGATAAGAACTAAGAACCTCCTTGTCACATATTCAGCACAAAGAAGTTCAAATTGTGTATTTATAAACCCGTTACCTTTGTTATGATCCTCCTGTATGTGTAAATACAGACTTTTCTGAACTATTGTTACGTAGTCACACTCAGTACACGGGTAATATTGACTGCACAAATAGACAATTATATTAGACAAAATATTCTTTATTTTTTAAAAATAAAATGTTTAAATTTTAAATTATTAAGTTATTTTTTAACTTATATAATCGTCCCTGTTTCCAATATGCTTGATTTGTTTGTGTGTTGTTAGCAGGAACTCTGATGTTGCCAAAAAGTCACACATATCACATTCTAGTTCATTCACTTCTTTAAATTGATTTTAATTAAACCAACAAAAAGCTGTAATTTTTACAAATAATACCTTCAAGTTTAAATTGCTAAGAATTTGTAAAAAAAATTTATTTAGACTCGTGAACATTAGTTTAATCCTAGAATACATACTGAAGTGAATTTTGTAAATATCCGGCTATTTAAGGCCGCTGACTTAATTCAAGAACAGCCATTACAAAAAATAGTAGATTAATCGTCAAGTGTTTTCTTGATATCAGAACATTCGACTCAACTCCAAATTTTCTAATCCTATATTTTCCGACCTGATTCTATATCACAGACCTCTTATTTAATCTGTCAGAATAAATAGTTAAAAAGTTGTCTTAATTTTTTAATACTGGACTTGCAGAGCGCGATTGGCGCCCCGTAAACTTTTCGACAATTTTATCTGAAAAACGACATGTTTCATAGTCCTAAGTTTTCGCCGATTTTCTGTTAAAATATGCGAATTTTCAGAAATACTTTCTTCCATTCATAAACTTTCCCGAAGGTCATGCTAATAGCCAAAAACTTAGGCCCGATCAGCTCAACAGTTTAACGTCTGTTGATATACAACAATTTGGGTTTGCAGCGAGGTATCAGTTCCTTAATAAACGCATGGATAAGAAAAATAGAAATTGTGGCGAGTAATTAGTTTTTATATTATAAAATAAAAGTATCAATCAGAAAATCAAAATGTTGTATAAAAAAAAATCAATTTCCTTTAGCACGACTTTTCTCCTTCTTAAGTTCATTGAACCTGTTCAGTTTATCAACGTTAATGTTGATCAAACCTTGATTCTTTAATGTGCTAGATGTCTTGGATTTTCGCCCAGGTTTCGACTTTAATGTAGACTTTTTGACCGGCTGGTTCATCTTCTTGGCTGGTTTAGCCACCAGATTTCGTTTTCCTCGCATTATATCTGTAAAAATTAATCAAAATGGTTAAATCATAACTGCCCATTTATTGATTCTATGGCCTACTGGAAGAATTAGTTATGTTTATTCAAATTTTCATTTAACAATAATACATAAAATTTTGCCGCGTTTTTCTACAAGAAAACACGACTCTGGGAACAGAGAAGAGAAATGGCGCCAACAGACAAGGTTCAGGACAATCACGTGACTACTAGGTCTAGAACATTCTTATTCAGAAAACATTCTGCAAGTTTTATCTTAATATACATTATGAAAAAAGATGATAATTAGATTATGATATCTTTCACGACTTGACGAATTTCGAGTTATAAATTTTGTGAGAAAAATTCTGCATATAAAAATAAAAGTAGTGAACAGAATATATACCATTTAGACATAATTTTAACAAGATACCAAACGCTGGATTGAAATCTGTAAATGGGATTTGAACTAAAAATTTAAAAATAAGAAATCGAGTGAAGGTTGTATTTCTCAAGTTTTTTTTATAAATAATTAAATTTGTTTTGGAAAAACTTTAAAAATTCTATAAAGGAAAATAAAAAGTGATGAAAAGGTTATGAAGACATAATTTTAAAAAGAAAATTTTGTTAAAACTTAAAAATTTTGCAAAGGATTTGAAATAAAAATTAAAATCAATACTAAATTAAAAAAAAACATTTTATTGTTGAATTTTTAAGATTTTTATAAATGAGAAAATGTTCCTAAATGTGTTTTATCTAAGCTCCGACCAGCTTCTTGAGTCCTTGGGTGGACATGGATTTAGGTCTCTCCAGGGGGAGTCCTAGAGCACGATCCCAAACCAGGGAGGAGGTTACTCCCAGAGCTCTAAATTTAGTTTATATTTAAAGGGAGAGACCGGCAATGAATGGTGGTTGAAATGAGTTTGCAGCGTTGTAGAAAATCTTTTTCGGATTCATTTGAATGCAAGGTCTACGTTCAAAGTCATGAATGTGGGTGGGTAAGTTTTCAGAATCGTTTTTTTAATATTAAATAACGATCACGAAATATAAAGTAAAAATTATACAGTTAACTATTTAGATGTTTAGGAACATATATAATATATATCTCAAAAGTAATTTGTCAATATCAATGTTAGAATCAATTATTTCGTTTTCATCATTATATTGAATTTATTATTTTATATGAATTTGTTCGCCAATTTCTACAAATTCATCAAATGTCGTCTTTTCAATAAAAATTCCAGAAAATCTTCAAAAAATCTTTGAAAATAATGAGATTATAGAAACTAATAATTGATTAATTATTTTCGATGATAAAGATAGAAATTTTGCTCGATTCTCAAACCGTACCCACCCAAATTCATGATTTTGAACGTCGACTTTGCGCTTAAACTCAGTAAACATACGTCGTAGCAATTTTTCATATGTTTTATTTTCCCTCAGATTTATCGTGTTAACAACGAAAGACGTTTTTTTTGCATTAGACGATTTGTAAATAATCATTCGCTACTTCGTTTCGAACATTTAAGCTATTAGATAATAAAATAAAAACGAGGTTAAAAAATTACAACCCACGCAATTGTATAATTTTTGTTAAAAAAATAATGAGATTAAAGCCATTCAGTGGCAAACAATAAAAAAGTTGGGATTATAATTTCTATGGATGAGCAAAATTTAGAAGAAAAATAATGCCAGTTTGTCACACCTTTAACAGGCAATTAGATACGTTAAAGTATTCATTCATCTATGGTATTGGTAATAAATCCATAAATATTCAGTTCAGAGGGTTTTGACTTTCTTGAACATTTCAAATTAAAACTCTTGTGACGTTTATCGGGGGTGTAAGAACAATACTGTTAATAGTATAAGCCCGAAAGTTGGACTACAAAGAAAGATAATTTACAGGTCAAAAACATTTGAAAATTTTGAATATTACACGATTTTGTCTGAAAAAATTTGAATATTTTTGGCTGTCATTTTTTTTTGTCTACGACGCACCTCATTTTAGACAAAATTGAGTATAAAAAATACCGTATTTTCACCTATAATCAAAATATTACCTTGAAACTCCGAAAAGAACGGTATAGTAGTTCATCTCCTTCATTCCGTAGTACTGGAGTAGAACACCACTGTGAGCATCAACATTGGGCCAGGGGTTCTTAACCTTACCTAGAAATATATGTTTTCAAAGTAAAACAGAGCGGCAAAATATTTATCTAGGTGGAATGTGTATTTATGTATGCTGCAAACAGTGATAACTGAAGATGAAATTTTAATTTAACAAGCTTTTTTCGAATTACAAGTTTACAAGTAATCAAAGAGAATCTTTATTAATTGATAGCTTCTCTTGACTTTTAAGTGTATCCGTACTGTTCAACAGATTGATATAAATCAAACTTGGATCGAAAGTCGTCTTTTTTTATAATGATATCATCGCATAACAGTACAACTATATATAAGGAAAATCGAGGTTCGCTCGTACTAACCGTTGAGAAACAGTCGGTTATTTTGTCAACAATCTTTAAAATACCACGGATAAAGTAGGATAATTCTGAAATATTAAAACTCTTCAAGAAGTTTGAATAAACCATGACTGTGAGATCTAAACATCGAGAATGAATATAGTTTATTAAAAAGTTTAGCAGAGGCTCTTTTAGAAACCGAAAAATGAAATATGCCAGCAAGAGAAATGAGGATATAGGTTGGAACCAGTTTACCTGTTTATTGTCTCCATAAGGATAGCTGGGAACCAGTTTACCTGTTCAGAGTCTCCATGAGGATAGCTGGGAACCAGTTTACCTGTTCAGTGTCTCCATTAGAATAGCTGGGAATCTGTTTACCTTTTCAGTGTCTCCATGAGGATATCTGGGAACCATTTTACCAGTTCAGTGTCTCCATTAGGATAGCTGGGAACCAGTTTATCTGTTCAGTGTCTCCATGAGGATAGCTGGGAACCTGTTTACCTGTCTCTATGAGGATAGGTTGAACCAGCATATACAGCTGGGAACCTGTTTACCTGTCTCCATGAGGATAGGTGGAACCAGCATATACAGCTGGGAACCTGTTTACCTGTCTCCATGAGGATAGGTGGAACCAGCATGTAAAGCTGGGAAACAAGCTTGAACATCTTGTCATCTGGTAAATGCTTGAGAGCGAACTCTCTCTGACAGGTGTATCTAAAAAGAGAAAATTTTAGAAAAAAAACAGGAGCAAAATTTAATTTTTGGAATTTATCCGGATCCAACTAGTCCAAAGTTATTTTTTCAATTTTTACTTAAATCCTCGCTATTTTTTTGTAGAAACTATTTCTAACATTAATTGATTTCAGTTTTAATTATCTAAAAGGTTAAAATATTCGCTTATTAATCACTTAAACAAATTTCCCTCCTCCCACTATTTTTGTTGATATTTTGCTACTTGGATCGGTTAACATGTTCAGGTTTGAGTGGATCCCAGAGGATGGTGTATAAAAGACAAGTTCCATGATATTACCTCGGATCAGTTTTCCTAAGAACAGCATGACCGTATCCAGGAACAACCTGACCGGACTTCAGCAGGGACCAAACAAACTCTTTCATCTGGTCATCAGTAGCATCCAGACCAACAGCATCCTTCACCTTAACATCAACATCAACATCAACATCAACATCAACATCAACATCAACATCAACATCAACATCAACATCAACATCAACATCAACATCAACATCAACATCAACGGTGTATATTTTATTGAAAAATCATAACCCCCGCTATTATTTTTTTTCACCCAGATATTGTACGTTTGCGTCGTATGTTTTTTAAGGGTTTTAGGAGGGATACTTTTTGAAATCAAAAATCACATAAATGTGGGAATTGTTTTCAACTTACAATTTCATGCACGAGACAATGTAAGCACAATGAATTATTTAAACTTCATATTTTAATATCATATTAGGCTAACATTGTAAAATATTTTGTTTATATTCTGTTTTCCGACAGATAACAAGGAGAATCCCTTCTCCCCATGTGGGTCTGTGAAAAGATTTGTGTATATAAAGAAAAAGAAAAGTGAAAACTGGCAATTGCACTTATTAGTTCTTTTCACCCAAAATATCATTTACATCTTTTCCAATTTAGGCGAGGGAAATAAAATGAGTTAGGGGGTTAATTTATCGAGAAAATAAAAGCATTTTAATCTTAATTTAATTCCTCTTCGATATCTTGTGGTGGCCATACCCTTCTGGGATAGCTTTGATTTAGTAATCAAGAATTTATCCTCAAATTTAAGTGTCCACATTGGATATCGAGATCAAGCGTTTAAGATTACCCATACTCCATACAAAATTTCCGACAATTTCCGTAAAGCGACATATCAATAATTAAGAAATGTTTAGACTCGATAAACTAGAAATGGACAATATCATCCAGTAAATCAGAGCTTTAACATTGTACCTGGAAAACTTAACTTAAATTGACAAAAACTGAATATATTTGACCACAAAGATAAGTCAGTTCAACTTAACCAATCCGTTTGTAAAATAGTCAACAGCCAAATTCAATGAATATGCAGTCACAATTCATAGTTGAACCGTGTTGACTAAGTTTAACCTATTATCCTATACTGTGGATCCAGTTTAAGAGAAGTGACTCAAATCAAATTAAGTCAAGAAGCCATAGTTCAAGCTTAAGGTCGGACTGACTAACAAATTTGAGCCATGATACTGGTCTGTACTCATTCCCTCAGTCGATTACCTAATAACGCGGATAAAAATTGTCTTGGTATTTATAAAATCTGGTTTCTTGTTACTTGTCTTGAGCTGACCTTGTTCACGAAGACGAAAGCTGACTCAGGGACCATAATTAATAAATATTAATATCGATAAAGTACATTAAATTCTGCCCCTGGTCTCCAGTAACTAGTGCTAACCTTGTTCATAAAGACGAGAACCTCCTGGTTAGCCAGGCCATGAAGAGGACCGGCCAAACCACACATACCAGCTCCAAAGGACAGATACGGGTCTAAAATACAGTTAATGATACCTCTAAAAAAACTAAGTACACCATTCCCACAAGATTTAATAATAATCTTCGCGCATATGTTTAATATTATTATATATATATTTATTTATTTGTTAGCTTTAGCTTCCCAGCTGAATTGGCTGACATTTTTTTAGGCTACCAAGGAAATTCGATTTATCTTATTCAAAATTGACAAAGAAGGGAATCTTCATAAAAATAAATAAACAAAATGGTCAACCATTATCCCGTAGGAGTCAGGGTTAAGAGTTACTTAAACTAACTGGGACAGTTCTATGAGATAATACCTGAGAGTGCTGATCCTACGAGATGGGTAGCATGAGCGGAAACATTTCCTCCCTCGTGATCACTGTGGATAGTCAGATACAGACGCATCAGCTCAGTAAAGGTTGCGTCCTTAATAATGAAAATCGTTCATCTCCTTATGTTTGTCGTACCCCCTATCCTGTGAAAATAAGCAACCTAGTTAGGGATTTTCGTTAAAGGTGGGAAATAAATGATTTATAGGAAATACTAAATAAAATATTGGGTAAAAAAATATTAATTAAGGATAAAAGGCTGTCAGATACTCTATAGATAGATGTCTAATGTCATTTTTTTCCCTCTGGCCTTCGAAAACTTATTTTCCCCGGGCATGGGGAATGGGTAATTCTTAAAAATATATTATACAGGGCACCCCTGTGTGACTTGTCAATCTATCTTAAACAGAGAACAATAGCAATGAATGGATTCAACACCAAGTACTGAAAACAATGATAGTTTCCGTGATTTTGTTCAGAGGAAGTTTTAATGGGTTTCCTCAAAAATCATTTGTTTCCTTAATTCAGCGAATTAAACCTAACTACTGGTAATAAAAAGGGGTTTTTTAGGGGGTAGGGGGTGGGATGATTTTTCAAGAAAGTATAAATACCTGAAATCAAATCCAATATTTTACCTTGTATCCAATCATCTCGGTAAAGTTGTAAGACCAATCCTTTGATGTATCGATGGGGCAAGGGGGTGCTCCCTCCCTAAACAATTGTTGTAAAATTTTAATGAGAACTACTTAAAAAAGGAAGAATTTTATCAATTATATTTTCATCTTTATACATGAAAATTGAAAAAGTTCTTCTATAAATAAATTTGGCTTGTCTGTCTGTTTGTCTGTATCCAATAAACGTCAAAACGGCTGAAGCGATCGGGCCCAAATTTTTTGTGGGACATCACGTGACCACAGGAAAGGTTTATGAATGAGAAAATTTTTTAAAAAATGTGTTTTAGAGGTTTTTAATTTTGTAAAAAATTTAAATTCTTGAAAATCCGCGATTTTTTTTGAAAATCCGCAAATTTTTTTTCTTCTTTGTTTTTAAATGGAAACAAAAAGAACATGTTCACAATTTAAATAAAAGATAGGCGCGAAGCGCCATAAAAGCCTAGTATTTAATATATATAATGTTGTCAACCATTAACATTAAGCCCCCCCCCCCACAGTTCATGTAATATCGTCTTCAACTTAAATGCTCCTCTCGGAGTCAAGAGTCCAAACCAAACAATTTCAGCCCGCCTTTCTTCCTTGTTCTCCGATGACGGAGTTAAAACGTTTACCAATTGTGAACCATTTCAAAGTTAAACAAAAACATTTCTATTTAAAGAATTAGTGACTTTCATCAACATTTAATTGTCAATCTTTTCAGAAGTTTTAATGTATAAAAAGCGTCTTCGGACTTTTCGACAGATAGTCTCACGAATAGGAAAATAGATCGTAAGAATCTTTTCATTATAAATTTGTAAACCCTGTAATAATTATTTATCATTATTCATTTCGTTATTTTTTTTAGGAAATAAAGAGTTTTCTGCATTATCGATTTTGATTCGTGGATTATACCTTGTCTATCTGTTCATCGTCAGAATCTTGTTCCTTTGCGACAACAAATGTTTATCTAATATGGGGGGTAAGACTAAATCAAACCTAATTATTTTAACATGATTCAATTTATTTGAAAATAAATGAACTGTAAACGTAATTCTCAGTGATCCTTCATGCAAAGATGACAACGTCAGATTAAAGTGCTATTAAAAGCTTTGTCTGATCAAGCATGAATTAGATATCAATGTTCATAATTTCAAACACTGATTATTTTAAATTACGACTTCTCTAAAAAGAGCGACTTGGGCATTTTAACTACAAGAAAATAAATCGGAAATATCAGGATTAAAACTCTCAAACCTCGAAAAACTACATTATTGATCGGATACAGGTTTCAAGGAACCTTTTTAAATACGGCATTGCCATCTTTCTTATGGAGGATTACTTGAATTTACGCACACAGTCCCTTTCACCTGTAAAGGTTATTGTAGATAGTAGCAGCAACAACAGGAAGCTTAGCGATCAGGTCCATAGAGTCTTCGAAGGTTGTCTCCCAGTACTTGCTCTTGTGTACTCCTTGGGAGTAAGCCTAGTAGATAGATATATAGATATTAGATAGGTAGATAGGTAGATAATAGTGGAATAATTTGGTAAATTTCGTTATTTTGGAGCTGGAAACTTTTAAATGGTTGAAATCCAGCTTTAATCTCGATATCAACCATTTAAAATTTCCCAGCTCTGTTTGCCAAGAGTTCGGCTCGGTACTTCGATAAACCCTTTATCCTTACATTGGCAAACTTGGATTCTGAGTTAAGAGCTGCAACTGCGGCCACCAGCTGGGACATTGGGTGAAGGTGGGAGGGGAAGTTGTTCAGCATTGTCACAACATGGGAGGGAAGCTCAGCTCTACTAGCCCAGTCCTCAGACAAACTCTTAACCTTAAACATTTACGATTATTATTGGTCAGGGGAGAACATTGTTTAAGATGGGGAAATAAAATGAAAATTTGGACAACAATATGTTCCATCTAATTATTCCCCTTTTACAGAGAAAAATCCCCCAAATTAACAAAAATGATATGAGCTTGTTCAGAACGTCCTACTAAACCATTAAAAACATTCACGTTGCAAAGATTTTAATCAAGGAAAATGATAAGACGAAGCTTAGGTTAAAAAGGTAAGTCTGATCTTCTCTATAATGAACTTTGAGAATTTCTGAATTGGGATATTAAAAATAACACCATTAAAATTTCTAAAAAAAACTGAAGGAAAAAAATAAAGTATTCGGGGGTGTGCATTGTATAATTTTAAGAATTAATAAATAGAAAAAATTGGACATATAAGTTCTAGCTTTTTTATACTTTGAACCCAAATATTACCCCCCCCCCCCCGAATTCAGCGAATAAAACTCAAAAAAAAGTTTAAGAAAATATTCAATTCACCCCTGGAAGTATTTAACAAACCTGCTCAGCAGTGGGAATCTCTCCGGTCACCAGCAGCCAAAATAGTCCTTCAGGGAGGGGCTCACCACCTCCAGGGGCCTGAGCAATCAATCAATAAATCAATTATCAATCAATATCAAGGAATCAATTAATAACAATAAAATCAGTCAAAACTACTTCTTGATCTCAATTAATCTCAACCCAATCCAGTACATCCTGAAGTTATACTTAGAAGACTAAGATTCCAGGGACGCGCTCCTCTTTGCTGTAGTATATTTAGTTTCTTTAAGTACCTTCATCTCCAACCATTATCTTTCGGAAAAAACTGCGATATTTCATGGACTTTATAACATCCAACTTTTTTAAAGCAAAATTTTTTATTTTGACCGGCCATAATCCTTCTGTTCGGTCCTATGAGGTTTAAATAACACACAAACCAATAATATAAATAGATTAATTAATGATTACCCTAGGGAGAAGCTCCTGGCACTCCGGGATAGTGTATCCTCTAAATCTGATTCCCTCATCAGCATCCAGGACTGAGGTTTCAGTTACCAGTCCCTTCATTCCTCTCATTCCTCCGTACATCATATCTACAGTGATCTCTCCAACCTGAAAAGTTTACATTCAAATACAGAACAAAACAGGATTTAAATAAAAACCTTGAAAAAAGGTCAACTTATGAGTGTAAATAGTTAAAGATAGAACTAGTTTAGTACAAGGGTTTATCTAACATTGTATGGCACGAGTCTTATGCCATTATTATTATTATTGCAGACAACCCATCATTCAATGTAAAAAAGTTCGACGCTCCTCGCCACTTTATTGTAGATTTCAGACCTGAAACTAAATATTATTTCTGAATTTGTATACCTTGGTGTTCCCGTGTTCCTTCCTGAAGGCCTTGACCTCCTCCTGTACTTGAGGAATCTTCTCCGCCAAGGCGGAGCGAAGATCCGCCGCATTGCTGGCGGCGCACACCTGGTTCACCAACAGCTTCTGCTGCCTGAAAGACATATTGTTACAGTGATAGACTATAGACCTTTTATAAATTTGGAATTCAAAAATTATTTCGATGAAAATGAAAAATTAGATGGGTAAAAAGATTTTTTTTCTCGAGAAAATACAAATATAAAAACTCCTGCATTGTATATATCAGGGTAACCACAAAGAATGAGACTTCAGAGACGACTGTACAAATTTTATCCAGCCTTTATTCTTGGATCCTTATGGCTTTTCTTTCTGTGCCAGATAATTCAATAAACCATCAAATTTGGCTAAAAAGGCAGAAACCCATATTATTTCTTTAGAGTGCTATATTTACGGACTATCAGGTCGTCATTAGAGTCTCATTCTTCGTGGTTAAACCTTTATGGATCATTAGTTTCCCCTTCCCAACACTAAATAATCTGATAATTACCTATTAAATGTTTTTAAGTTTTTCATTTGAATGCATACAAATGCATACAAATAAATTCTATCTCTCTTAAGAATTTCCCAAGATGCAAAATAAAGTAAATAATCCAAAGCTTGCAATTCTGTAGTAAATGGTCTCATTTTTTTTGGTTGTCTCAATATTTACAAAATCTACGAAACCTTGGCATAATAAAACCTGTGAACCCTTCAAATAAAAACATCTGCTAACCCTTGGCCTAACGATATCTGCTAACCCTTGGCATAACGATATCTGCGAACCCTTTGCCTAACGATATCTGCTAACCCTTGACATAACGATATCTGCTAATCCTTGGCATAACGATATCTGCGAACCCTTTGCCTAACGATATCTGCTAACCCTTGACATAACGATATCTGCTAACCCTTGACTTAACAATATCTGCGAGCCCTTGGCATAACGATATCTGCTAATCCTTGACATAACGATATCTGCTAACCCTTGGCTTAACGATATCTGCTAACCCTTGACTTAACAATATCTGCGACCCCTTGGCATAACGATATCTGCTAACCCTTGACATACCGATGTCTGCGAACCCTAAACATAACGATATCTGCTTACCCTTGACTTAACAATATCTGCGAGCCCTTGGCATAACGATATCTGCTAACCCTTGACATACAGATGTCTGCGAACACTAAGCATAACGATATCTGCTTACCCTTGACTTAATAATATCTGCGAGCCCTTGGCATAACGATATCTGCTAACCCTTGACATACAGATGTCTACGAACCCTAAGCATAACGATATCTGCTTACTCTTGACTTAACAATATCTGCGAGCCCTTGGCATAACGATGTCTGCTAACCCTTGGCATAACGATATCTGCTAACCCTTGACATAACGATATCTGCTAACCCTTGACATAACGATATCTGCTAACCCTTGACATAACGATATCTGCTAACCCTTGGCATAACGATATCTGCGAACCCTAAGCATAATGATATCTGCTAACCCTTGACATAACGATATCTGCTAACCCTTGGCATTACGATATCTGCTAACCCTTGACATAACGATATCTGCTAACCCTAAGTATAACGATATCTGCTAACCCTAAGCATAATGATATCTGCTAACCCTTGACATAAAAATCTAAGAACCTAAGGCAAACAAAATAAATACCTGGGAAGGGCTTTCAAGCAAACTTGTCTGACTAGAGCCATTTTCTCTCTGAAAATAAAAATATAAATTATTTACAAATTAAAATATCGAAAAATAAACATTTAACATTAATAATGGATATCGCCTATGGATGAGCTATTACTAAAGAAGTATATTAACAATCTTAGAAAATGGAGTTCATCGTAAAACTGATTTTTTCTTCGATTTTGTTCTTTTTAGAATACACGTAATTGAATAAAGAGGTTTTGTTGACATTGGACAAATTCATCATGAAAAGACGACTTCATTAATGGGCGTGACCACAGCCCGAGTACTCCTCCTGTCCCGCCCCGTTGACACCGTGAACATCCTGTGAGCGTGGTTTAGCTTTGTACCAACCCAGCCTTCCAGAACCATGCTGGGAGTTCCATAATTCTAAACACAATTATTTTAAAACTATGATCGGCATAGTTTTATATTCTAGGCTTTCAGACTGCTTCGCATCCATTTTCTATTTTAACTTTTTATTTGTTTCTTATCTTGGAGCATTTTCTCATCGTAAATTGAAATAACAATAACAAAAAATTTCGCGGAATAATTTTCCTTGTCTTTAGGAGTAGAGGAAAGAAGCATACTGTATGCAGGGGGGGGGGGGAGGGGAAAGTAATAAAAATACAACTTAATTTTGGGACCCCCCTCTCCCAAAAAACCCTAATTATAACGAATTAATAATCTTTTTTGCGGGTTTTTTAAATTATGAATGAAATCATACAGTACGATTTGGTTTAGCAAGACAAAACCAGGAACAACTACAAGAGAAAGCTGTACACGATAACAGATTTAGCATGGTTGTTTCCGACATAAGTTTACCCTGTTCATGATCTGATTTGATCATAATCCAACTCCGGTCACACTCGATCCATCAATCAATTAATCGTGTTTGATCTAAGGATTGATATTCTACCCGAAGGACTTTACCTTCATTGTTTGTCTTCAACATATTGCTGACTATCCCAAAGTTCTAAATGGAAAAGAAGAAAAAATCAAAATAACAAAAATCAAAAAGGTTCAAAACAGAAGCAAACTAATGTCTGAGAATTTTAAGCTGATAAGTTGTTATTAAGAGTTAAAATCTTAGTTCTTAAAGTTCTCAGATTATATTTTAAGCTGATTAGTTGTTATTAAGAGTTGAAATCTTAGTTCTTAAAGTTCTCAGATTATATTTTAAGCTGATTAGTTGTTATTAAGAGTTAAAATCTTAGTTCTTAAAGTTCTCAGATTATATTTTAAGCTGATTAGTTGTCATTAAGAGTTGAAATCTTAGTTCTTAAAGTTCTCAGATTATATTTTAAGCTGATTAGTTGTTATTAAGAGTTAAAATCCTAGTTCTTAAAGTTCTCAGATTATATTTTAAGCTGATTAGTTGTTATTAAGAGTTGAAATCTTAGTTCTTAAAGTTCTCAGATTATATTTTAAGCTGATTAGTTGTTATTAAGAGTTGAAATCGTAGTTCTTAAAGTTCTCAGATTAAAAAAACCAAAATGGTGCTTTTATCAATTAATGTAAAAAGAAGAAAAAGCCACAGTTTGTTCAAAATATTGTGATCAATGATTCAATGGCTTAGTCTTATTTAATTATTTACAGTATAGTTATGCTATTAAATAGTAAACACATTTTTAAGCAATTGAAGTAATTTTAGTCCAACTAATCCTTAAACATTGTTCAGTTGTCTTTAAAAAGAACAAAACCTTTTACATATCCTAGTGCAACCTGTCTTAACAAGTTTTAATTTTCAGACAAATCGAAGAGATATCAGGGGCGTAGGAATTTGTCCTGGGGAAGGCTCAGCACCCATTGGGGCCTGAAACCCCCCTGGAAACCAATTTACTGATATTACGCCTCTGCATATATTTCCACTGTTTTAAAATGGACGTGATCTACAGTATACGGGTATTCTTGTGAATCGGTTAGGACACTCACCTGCATATTTGGAACCTGGAATCTCCAGAAGCTGTTGATGAGTTCCACGTTCGGTTACTCTACCCTTCTCTAGTACTAGGATCTCGTCACAGTTAACTACAGTGGACAGTCTAGACAATTATTAACGGGTTAGTTTTTATTCTATCACCTTCACAGTTAAAAAATATAATACACTATTAACAACTTCACCTTAAAACTGTTGCTCTGAAAGTCGGCCATTTTTATTTTTGCATTTTAGCGGATTTTTCTATTCTACTTGGCACATTTCAAAAAAATTGTTTTCAATTTTGATGCTCTATTTGGGGTTATTTGACATTTATTGGATCAGACAAGCAGAGTATATATATAAATAAATAGAATTAACTTAAATATACTAGTCATAATTTCAAGTGACCCTCCATATAAAGCGGGGCCTATCCGGTGTTTAAAGATACCCGTGAAACCTTTACATGATCAATAATGGGGAAGATAATCCTTACATGGTTTTCCTGCAGCAGAAATGCGCATGTCGCTCTCGGATAAAACCCACGATTAAAAAATAATCAGTTTTTAAAATGATTAACATTGATATCTAATTCATTCTTGACCAAACAAAGGTTTTAAAAGTACCGTTGTAAATCTGACATGCCTCTTCAGATGAAAGGTCACTAGTAATTACGCCTACAAACCCTTTAAGAGGGTTTTCGATCCTTTTTTGGTATAAACTTTTACAGTAATATAACGTTTTCTGTAGAGGAATGTGTTAGTAGTACCTAGTTAAACAGTTAAATCTAAGAAATTGAGAGGAATTACAGTTTTGCACGTTTGAAAAATCTCAACTTTTGGTTGAGCTTTTCATTAATCTTGACCGGGCAAAAACTTCTCTTAGAAAAATGGGCTTTAACCGTTTTTGTTTAAACGAATGTGTATTAAAACTTAATACATACCTGTGTGCTATACAAATGCTTGTTCTACCCTTGGTGGCTTGACCCAGCGCTTTCATGATGCTATTCTCAGTTATACTGTCCAGACTGGAGGTTGCTTCATCAAATACAAGAATAGGAGAGTCCTAAATATAAGATAATATATAACAATAAGTAATATTATGCATATATAAATATATTAATAAATACTACTAATAATAATATATACCTTTATATTTATTATAAATATATAATAATCAATAATTTTTGATTTGACAACACCAGTTCAACCATGTTTACTAACTGAAAAGGAGTATATCTGATACATTTTGCATTAATAAACTAAGAAAAAATTAGACTTGCTGAAAATTATATTTATTATATGTGAGCAAAAAATTAGCCTATTCTTGTGTTTTATGAGGCTACCTTTATATATATTTACATCGATAAATAAAAAGAAGTATTCTCTATTAATTTGTCTGTTTGTATGTCCAGTCATAACTCAACAACTATTGGATTAATTAGCCTCATTTTGATTGGGAAATTAGGTACGAAAGACATTAATAGCGAAAGTTAAGTTTCCAGGAAAAGCTGGGATCCCAGGCTAGGGGGAAAAATATTTTGTGGTAGCATCATCAAATACAATAATTGGAAAATTCTAGGATTCCATATTATTGACAAATTTAATATATTAGTAACAAAACATGACAAATTCATTTTAACAACGAATTATTCTTGACAATAACAATAATAAAATTGATTTGAAAACTTTCTGATTGTTATCTCATGCATTTTTATTTTATTTTAGAAACCAATTACTCTTAACGATGACAATAACTTATTTGATCTGAATAGAAATGAAAAAGGTAACTGTGGGTTAATATTAGATCAAACTGAGAATTGGAGAGATAACTTATCATATTTATTTGAGTGAATGTTTATAGGGAACCCCTTAATATCTTATGGGCTTTGAAATTGGTTTTCACAAAAGAGGGGCAATCCCAATTCACAAATCCCAATTCACAAAATCTCTTATCTGATTAATAATACGAAGAGGATTTTATAACTTAAAAAAGGGTTTAATACTGATAATTTCTCAATTATTTCTGAACCACAGAGATGTTCAACTTTTCAATTCACTTTCGTACACAAACCACAAATTAAGATTATCAGTTTTCAATAAACAAAGATTAAGATTTATAAATGCTTACTTTAAGAATAGCTCTAGCTATTGCTACCCTCTGCTTCTCTCCTCCTGACAGTTTTAATCCTCGTTCACCAACCTAAACGTTGAAATTATTTGAGAAATTAATTTTACGAATATTAAGAAAAATGAGAAAAGTAAGTTTAAATAGAAAAAGTAAAATTAAAAAATAAGTTTTAAATGTATTAGATTAAAATCTTGATTTTTGCAACGAGATTAAAACAGTTCAGGTCATTTGTCTTTTAATTCAATTAAAAATACCATAAAAGCATGAAGAAGTAATGATTACAGAAAAAAGAATCTGAAAAAAAACATAAAAAACGACTTTCTTAAATTACTTGATGTTAATAATTATTTTAAAATTTAATATTATCTGGGAACATAGCGAGCATTTAAAGTATTCTAATATCAATATATGTAATTTCTTGGATCATAGTTAAAAGAAAAACATGAAACATTAAAGGGGATGTAAGCGTAATCTTAAGTAACACTCCATGCAAAGATTGCAAAGCTTGATTCACAATGATACCTTTGAAACCTTTATCTGATCAATAATGTAAATTAAAAGATATTCTAGATCTAAAAGTTTTCTAATTCTGATAATTGCACAATGCATAATTTCCTGCGAGAGAAATGCGCAAGTCACTTTTAGTTTTAAGAAACCACAATTAAAAACGATAAGGTTTTAAAATTATAAACATTCATTAAAACTTATCAGACAACACTTCAACGGGTACCGTGGAGGGTCACTTAAAATTATGCTTACAGTCCCTTAAGACTGTTATGTAGACTATATGTGACAGTGTATCACTATAGTTTCAGTAGAAGTAAATATTTCCATTTACTGTTATAGCGCCGATATAAGGATTTATCTCTAATTGGATAATGCGCTAGATAGAAAGATAGATGTTACCGCCAATCAATTTCTATTGGTTCAGAATAGACAACAAGCACATGACTGAAACCTGATTGGATGAGGCGCTAATGGACTCGGCCTACTAGAGTGGTAGCATGATATAACACCTGGGTTTATGATACCATGTTTCCAGATTGTAAGTTCTGTGTGGCTAATGATTTATGTCAATTTTAAACTCTTGATCTTGATATCCAATATGGGCACTTTTAAATTTGAAGATCAATGTTGGATCTCTTGGATAGATAGATAAAATTTATTGCTAAAATACATGTATCTGTGTACAGAACGAGAAATTGATGATTATATTAACAGTACAAGTATAAAGCAATTAGGTGGAAAATAGCTTTTGGCTGTTTTGATTATTTTTTCCACCTAATTTCAATAAAGATAACAAAACATTTCAAGTAAATAGATTTAAGGAGAAATATTAGAGATCAGGGTGCGATTTTATCTTATGCAAAATAAATTATTCATAAATTAGAATAACTAGAGTTTAAAGTAATTTTCTGACATGAACACAACAAATATCAAAGCATATTATTTTCTATCCCTGCAGGGTATGACTACTATGGGTTATCGAAGTGGAATTAAATTAACCCGTAAGTCTCCATCTCAAAATTTACAACACTTCTAATTTTGCATAAAGATTCATAAACTAACTTTTTGAATTTTGAAGAAAAAAAATGGAAACTTTAAGAAACGAATTTTTAGATTTTTAAAGCCTATATTCCCTCAGGGTTCCAGAAAAAATTGTCAGCCTATTTGGTAAAGCCGTTTGGCCAGCTATAGCTAACATATGATTACATATACACACAAATACAGACATATGAGCGAAGAGCTTTATTATATAGATAAAAATATAACCTGCGTATCATATCCATTAGGCCAGCTAAGAATAGATTGATGTAGTTCTGCCATTTTAGCAGCTCTAAACAAACACTTTATTCATCATCTTATGAAATTAAGGTCTTGGGACATTTTAAAGAAACACATTTCAGAAATTGTCCTGACTTTGAAATATTACTGTCTAAGAAATAGTAAATTGAAAAGACATTTCATAGATAACAAAATGATAAGATAGGACATTTCAATTTCACAGATAAGAAATTTCAAAGAAATGTCCTGTCTGTATAATAATCTGTGACCCTGTATGCAAAAAGTGACAATGCCCGATTTACAATGATACCCTTAAAAGTATTGTCTGATAAATTTTGAAATAGATATCCACGTCTGTTTAATTTTTATATTTGTGGTTTCCCTGCAGAAGTGACTTGCAAATTTCTTTCGTTTAGGAAACAGTTGAGAAATTAACAAAAAACACCTTGAGAAAAACGACTATATCTTCCACATTTTTGATCTGAATAACGTTTCAAGGGTTCTTTGATCAGATTAACGTTTCAAGGGTACTTTGATCAGATTAACGTTTTAAGGGTACTTTGTTCAGATTAACGTTTCAAGGGTACTTTGATCAGATTAATGTTACAAGGGTACTTTGATCAGATTAACGTTTCAAGGGTATTTTGTTAAGATTAACGTTTCAAGGGTACTTTGATCAGATTAATGTTACAAGGGTACTTTGTTCTGATTAATTTTACAAGGGTACTTTGATCAGATTAATGTTACAAGGGTACTTTGTTCAGATTAATGTTACAAGGGTTCTTTGTTCAGATTAATGTTATAAGGGTACTTTGATCAGATTAATGTTACAAGGGTACTTTGATCAGATTATCGTTTCAAGGGTACTTTGATCAGATTAATGTTACAAGGGTACTTTGTTCTGATTAATGTTTCAAGGGTACTTTGTTCAGATTAACGTTTCAAGGGTACTTTGATCTGATTAATGTTACAAGGGTACTTTGTTCAGAATTATGTTACAAGGGTACTTTGATCAGATTAATATTACAAGGGTACTTTGTTCAGACTTATGTTACAAGGGTACTTTGTTTAGATTAACGTTTCAAGGAAACTTTGTTCAGATTAACATCTCAAGGGTACTTTGATCAGATTTATGTTACAAGGGTACTTTGTTCTGATTAATGTTACAAGGGTACTTTGATCAGATTAATATTACAAGGGTACTTTGTTCAGATTAATGTTACAAGGGTACTTTGATCAGATTAATGTTACAAGGGTACTTTTTTCAGATTATCGTTTCAAGGGTACTTTGATCAGATTAATGTTACAAGGGTACTTTGTTCTAATTAATGTTTCAAGGGTACTTTGTTCAGATTAACGTTTCAAGGGTACTTTGATCTGATTAATGTTACAAGGGTACTTTGTTCAGATTAACGTCTCAAGGGTACTTTGTTCAGATTAACGTCTCAAGGGTACTTTGTTCAGATTAACGTTTCAAGGGTACTTTGGTCAGAAAAATGTTACAAGGGTACTTTGGTCAGAAAAATGTTACAAGAGTACTTAATGATTAATGTTACAAGGGAACTTTATTCATAATTATGTTACAAGAAAACTTTGATCAGATTAATGTTTTTACGGGTACAATAGTAAATATGGAATTTTCATTTTTGCACGGCGTGTCACTTCAAATTATGTCCCTAAATAATTGTTTATACTTACTTGAACACATCTGTTTCAGGAGCTGCTAGGTTCCCGTAGGCAATATTATGTTTGATACTGTTATGGAAAAGAACTGAATCCTAAACAAAAAATTTAGACATTAATTAGTTAAAAATCTTGGACCGGATGTAAATTTTCTTTTCACAAATGAATTAGACTAAATTACTTTTGGCATGCTAGAGTCGTTTTTGATGAATTTTACGAAAAATTTACAGTTAATTGGATCACTTAAGGATCAAAGACAAATTCTAAAAATTAAATACAAGAAGGTAGGACTGTGAATACCTGAGGCACTATTGCGATATTTTTTCTAAGGGATTCCAACTCAACACTGCTCACTGATTTACCAGCCACCTATTCAATAAACACAAGGCTTACTTTAAACTCAATATTTAACATCGTACTTAAATATTTTTTTTTGTGGTGGGGAATGTGAGTGTTACATCTAATAATTCTATCATTTTGTATCTGAATTCTGAATAAAATCCCTGATTGTTAAAATGATTTGATGCAAGAATTAATAACTAAAACAAATGTCAATCTGTAAGCTAAATACTTCTCAAAATATCCCTTGCTTTTATACAAGTTGAAAAGGGGAACTTAACATTCATTTTCAAAACCTGATACCTTAGCAACCTAGTGTCGTCGACCTTTAATTTTTCAAACTATGAATTTTGCTTGATGAAATAGTAAAAGTTAGAAACAAAGGTTTACATCCGCACAGTGCAAAGATATAGGGATTATTCCAATAACGGTTAGTAATCATTGATCAGTCTAAACTTACTTTAATATCTCCCGAAGTGGGTTCAAACATTCTGTATAATAATCGAATTATCGTCGATTTCCCGGATCCGGATCCTTAACATATTAAACAGAGGTTCAAATTTCAATTATTATGTAATAAAGTCTCAAAGATTAATTACAGAATATATATTCCCTTGATTTTTTAAATTACAATATTAAATTAAATACTGTCTAGCTTATGAAAAAAAATTATTCTTTAACAATAATAAATAAATACCTCGTAGACCGAATTTTAAGATATAGAGCTGAGTCGCTTAATTACCTACCGCCGGTTCAAATCTTAAACCACTGTTTCAAATACTGCTATTAGAATTCTTTTTAATGTACCTAGAGATACGCATAGGTACTTGATTGAAAGTATTTCACAATGTTTACATGTAAAAACTATGTTAGCTAGCAGATGTGTGTCTTTCTATGAGACTATTGAAGCAAGTTCTAAGCTTTGCATTAGATTTCTTTCTAATTTATGTAAAAATTACCTCAACACAATTCTTGGCAGAAATTTATTTTGTATTGCAAATGATTGTTCTGTAAATCCTTCGGATCTTAGTAAAATGTTAGTTAAGAAACAAATGAAATATTTTGATGTCCCATTGGAACATGAATGGAAAGTTCCGGTTTTACAAGAACTTTTAAATACAAGAATGAATAATTTATATGTTAAAGGATTCGATGATTACGTAATAACTGAAATGATAAATATGTTATGTAGTGAGTAAAAATCAATGTTTTCTATTTGTGCATAATTTTGCATATTTTTTCTCTTTTCTTTTTGAAACCTGTATTTTCAAAAAAAAATTTATTTAAACAAATTTAAACTACACCATTTATATATGTATTAATATCTTTGTGTGTGAATAAATCTTTATAATAAATTTTTTTTTAAATTCATGAGGATTTGAATTGGTGATTCTGGATTTAACCCGGCAGTAGGTAGTTCAGCGACCTCTCCAATTAATTTAATTCGAGAACGATTGTTTAAAATGACCCACCTCCGACGATAGCGTAATTTTTGCCGGGAGGAACTGTGAATGAAAGCTGGTTTAATATTTTCTGTCCATGAAGATATTCAAAAGTTACATTCTCAAAACTTATTGCAGCATTCTCAGCCGTCACTGAAACAAAGAGAAACTAAAATATGTAAAAAGAGGAGATGAATATTTTTAGCACTGCTTTCACGAGTTTAATTATTTTGGTAATTTTTTCACTAAAATAACTACTTTGTGAAGAAACACATCTCACAAACGCGAGTTTTTTTTTAAATTCTTGCTTACCATTTGTGGGTTTAATAAAAGATATTTACAGGGGGTGTACAACGTACATTTTTTCATAAATCATTCATTAGGAGAACAAAAAAAAATGAAAATTTGGCATCAAAACCCATCTGTTTTCATTTTTTTGTTTAATACTTTTGAGTCAAAAATTAATTGATTTTTCCTAAAAATTCATTTATTTTCCCCAATTTATTTAGCGAATAAAACCCAAAAAATCATTTAGAGGAAAAATGATTTTCAAAGGGGGGAGGGGGTGGAGAAGGGGAGAATACAAATTATTTTTCGAGAAAAATACAACCCTGGTTTTGTTTCAATGCAAGATATTTTGGACTTGTATAAGGCATTAAAAAATTTGCGTAAAAGAAATAAAACATTCTGACAATGCGTATTAGAGAGTTAGGGCTAAGAGATAATCCAATATGATATGAAACGCTCTGTAGGTAAACTTTAGTGTTCAGTTGTTGGTAAACACTAGACTTGTGTCATTAACCAACTAAAAGTAATTTTCCGACCTAATGCGTTTTTTACCAGGGCTAGGAATGAATTTCTACGGAATAAAGATTAATTTTTTTATTATTATCATTATTATTATTATTACTAACCGTAAAGAGGTGGAGCTGAATCTGGATTCTTGATTTTAGGATCAACTGTCATCAGTTGGAACATAACCTTAATAAGTTTAGGATACAAACAAAGTGTGGTCGCAAGAAAACGGCAAATATTAGAACCCAGTCCACCCTTTGTTTGTTGTTAAACACAGGGTGGCCAAAACTTTTTTGAACAAATCCGTACAAAAATCCGTACATTTTAAGAAGAAATCCGTACAATCCGTACAATTTTTTTTAAAAATCCGTACAATTTTTTTTAAAAATCCGTACAATCCGTACATTTTTTTAAACCAATCCGTACATTTTTTTAAAAATCCGTACATTTTTTTAAAAATCTGTACAATCAGTACAATTTTCGAAAAAAATCCCATTTAAAAAAAACACACATTAAAATTCAATTTATCATTCATTGTCTCAATCCGTACAATTTTAGGGTTAAAAAAAAACAATCCGTACAATCCGTACATTTTGGCCACCCTGTAAACACAAAGCTTCATAAATAATAAATATGTCTACCTGCAATTGCATGTCTATGAGTGCCTACATGCATATCTAGGAATGTCTACCTGCAATGGCATGTCTATGAGTGCCTACCTGCATGTCTATGATTGCCTACCCGCATATCTATGAGTACCTACCTGCATGTCTATGAATTTCTACCTGCAATGGCATGTCTATGATTGCCTACCTACATGTCTTTGAATTGAATACCTACCCGAATGTCTATGAATGTCTACCTGCAATGGCATGTCTTTGAATACCTACCCACATGTCTATGAATACCTACCCGCATGTCTATGAGCGCCTACCTGCATGTCTATGAGTCCCTACCTGCATGTCAATGAGTGCCTTCCTGCATGTCTATGAGTGCCTACCTGCATGTCTATGAGTGCCTACCTGCATGTCTATGAGTGCCTACCTGCATGTCTATGAGTGCCTTCCTGCATGCATATGAGTGCCTACCTGCATGTCTATGAGTGCCTACCTACATGTCTATGAGTGCCTACCTGCATGTCTATGAGTGCCTAACTGCATGTCTATGAGTGCTTACCTGCATATCTATGAGTGCCTACCTGCATGTCTATGAGTGCCTACCTGCATGTCTATGAGTGCCTACCTGCATGTCTATGAGTGCCTACCTGCATATCTATGAGTGCCTACCTGCATATCTATGAGTGCCTACCTGCATATCTATGAGTGCCTACCTGCATGTCTATGAGTGCCTGCCTAATCTCTCTATAAACTGAACCCAGGAATCCCAAGGGAACTGATAACTGGAACAATAATCCATTCACCATTACAAGATCTCCAACTATACAACAAAGTTCTTTATTTATCTTAACTGCGTTTAACTAATATATATTTTATAAAATTTGTACAAAAAAGTAACACAGATGTTTTANCCCCCTTCTAATAGGAAATATAGAACATTTAGGATTCGTCACTGCCAAACTCACGTTTTTTTGGATTTATGACGAGGAATAAAATTGTAAACCCATTCAAATCTTAAAGAGCTGGTTTTGTATTCTTCGGAAAAAGGGAGAAAAAGGACCGTGTCCAAACTTCATGAAAATAAGAGGTCGCTGAACTGCCTACCGTCGGTTCAAATCTATCCTGAATCTTAAAATCTCAGTCAAGGGTTTAAATTTGAACCGACAGTAGGTAATTCAGCGACGTCACTCAAATTCATTAAATTCGGTCCGTGATAAAATATTTATATTGCCTTTTCCCTCCAAAATTATATAATTCTCTGAGATGTAATTTCTTAATATAAAAATATTAAAATATTAAGAACTGTTTCCCTGTCATTGTTCCATTCGTAATTTCTCTAGCAGTCATCACCATTATAGCTGACAGGGCGGCACTAAATCAGATCTTTTAAATAACATTTTATCTTTGTGAAGAAACAATCTCAAGAACTGACGAGGGTCAACCCAGACCGAAATATATTTTCAATAAATGTGGAACTAACATCTACTTTTTTTCTCTACAGAGGTTTGGTCCATCACCATCACCGAATTTTAAGCATTTTATCAATAGATGAAATATTCATTCTGATGGTTTTTGAAGATTTAGGGCGGAAAATGGAAACTAGGCAGCTGGAAAATGGAAACTTGGCAGCTGGAAAATGGCAAATATTTCCTTCCTGTATATTTTCCATCAAAATCATTTATTTCGTGCAGAAAATTTATTAACATTCATCAATTATAAAGACATTCATAATAACTCAGAAGTTATACTAAAGGTTTTAGCTTTAAAACAAGAATGTGTTTTTTTTTAATGCTTTGTTAAATATTTTTTTCCTTAGGTCCGCAAATTTTTACGACCCATTCTGATAATATCTTACCTAAATATTGCGTTCTGACCAAAGTTAAGAGCAGCTAAACTTGTGCTAGTTTTCAATGATGCAGTCTCATATTTCTGTAGGGATTTATCATACTGCTTAGCTTCGTAATCCTATATAATATTTACTCGTATTTCTGTAGGGATTTATCATACTGCTTAGCTTCATAATCCTATATAATAACGTTTACTCGTATTTCTGATGGGATTTATCATACTGCTTAGCTTCGTAATCCTATATTATAACATTTACTTGTATTTCTGGAGGGATTTATCATACTGCTTAGCTTCGTAATCCTATGTAATAATATTTACTCATATTTCTGGAGGGATTTATCATACTGCTTAGCTTCATCCTATATTATAACATTTACTTGTATTTCTGGAGGGATTTATCATACTGCTTAGCTTCGTAATCCTATGTAATAATATTTACTCATATTTCTGGAGGGATTTATCATACTGCTTAGCTTCATAATCCTATATAATAACATTTACTCGTATTTCTGGAACTTCTTCTGGGATTTATCATATTTCTGTATCATACTTCTGAAGTGATTTATCATATTTCTGAGGGAATTTTTCATATATTTCAGTAGGGATTTATCATATTTCTGAAGGGATTTATTATTTTTTTTAGGGATTTATCTATTTCTGTAGGGATTAACCATATTTCTAAGGATTAACCACATGTCAAGTGATTATTTATATTTCTATACGGATTTATCATATTGCTGTAGGGATTTATCATATTTCTGTAGGGATTTATCATATTTCTGTAGGGATTTAACATATTTCTGTAGGGATTTATCATATTTTGTCAGGATTTATCATATTTCTGTAGGGATTTATCATATTTTGTCAGGATTTATCTTATTTCTGTAGGGATTTATCATATTTCTGTAGGGATTTATCATTTTTCTGTAGGGATTTATAGGGATTAACCATATTTCTAGGGATTGACCATATTTCTAGGGATTGACCATATTTCTAGGGATTAACCATATTTTAAGTGATTAATTATATTTCTCTCCGGATTTATCATATTTCTGTAGGGATTACTGATTTGTCATATTTCTAGAGTGAGTTAACATATTCGTCATAACTATTCTTATTTTCATTTTCTTATCATTAAGGTAAAAGACGAAAATATCCCACCCCCCACCACCACTATCTGCCTTTGCTTCATAACCCTTCATATTTAAATTCACCTCCCTGCTATAATGATGTAATTCTTATCTTCTGTATATTTTATGCAAATTATGTCTAGTATTAGTATCAAAGGTAGTGTTAGCGAAAAATGAAAGGGCTAACGACGAATCCAATTCGACGTTGATCTTTAATAATCTTCCGAACTATCTGTTGCGTCTGTAAGGAGAAAATGGTTAAACACGACTTAAACCGAAGAGCTTAGCGTCGATACAATTTCATGCAGTTGAAATATTTAAATCGTAAATAATTTAAATTCAAACAATCCTTTCAGATATTATAACCTTTTATCGAATTTGATTCGATGTATTCATATAAAATAGATATTTCATAATATTTGTATCTAAACGATGAGTTTTTGGTCGCTAAATGTAGCTAGATTTATCTCCCACATGGAACCCCCTGAAGTATATATGAATATGAAACAAATTAAGAACATTTTTAAAAATGAACTTTTTACGAATGAATCGAATTGAATTCGATAATTTTAGGTTGTAATACCTGAATGAATTAAAATAAACAAAGTACTAAGAAGTGACGAAATTGATAAAGCTTTATCAATTTACAAAAATACCGCAAAAAAATGAAAAAATTTAAGTAAACACAGGGAAGGGGGAAAAAGGGGATAATATGATATTTTTACCTCATTGTTGAAGTATTTTACAGTTTCATAATTGATTAAACTATCCACTGCCTTGTTTCCAGCCTCATTATCTGCCTTAATACAAGTCATATTTATCAGTGCTTCGGATACACATATGTATTCTCAAGGTAATGGGGATAAGGGTTGGAGTACATACAATTTACTGTGACATATTTGAACTGCTTAGAAACTGGTTTCAGCTAGATTAGCCAAAACGAATTGAACATAAAAAAGACAAGTTTTTTTTAATATTTTAGATAAACATATCTAACTTTAGAAACCAAAATAATTAACAAAAAGTAGGGGGAGGGGGTGATTTTCATGAAAATATAAACCCCTCAATTAGCAATTGCTCAATTTCCTGAATTTATAATATGACACCTGGTAAATAAAGAACAAAACATATCTTTTACTTTACTTCTAGTCTCGCAGGAATCAGGAAGCAAACTATTTTTTTTTCATAAACATTGTTGACAAGTACATACCTTGTTCATATGTACTCTAAACTTGGTTCTCCACTGTGTAATAGCTAGTGTAAATACTGTGTAGGTAGCGACAGTACCAAATGCAACGGCAGCGTACTGCGGACCACAGCTGTACGCCTTAAATATTAACAAGGTTAACAAAGAACAAAAAGAACTTGACAGAGAAGTTGGGTACAAAATATGTTGTACAAACAAAAACAATGTTGTGTTGTCTTAATAACAGCAACTTTAAAAAAAACTTTTAAATTTTGAGAGGATTTTTATCCCGCATTTTGACTCGCAATTCCATAATCTCGGGTATAAAAGGTTTCTTATTTGTTCCGCGGCAAATAAGTAACATGTTATTTCATTTCATATTTCGCGGATTATCATAAAAAAATTCGCACATTTTTCAATCAGATTGAATTGAATAAATCTAAATGTCCAACTACCTTGTGTTATAATTTGGGAGAAAGTGTTTCTAGTTGTGATTATTTTTTTTTTTTTTTTTGTTTCCGGTCAAAATACACGTTTTTAAACGAAGCAAAAAAGTAAAAATCCCTGAAAAAAACATGTTGTCCTTCCTGCATAATAACACAAGGCAGTTGCATTAATAGATAAATTTCCTTAAATCAGGTTGAAAAAGTACAAAGATGAGATACAATCATAAAATTAAGTATGAGGTGAGTGATCACTTCCTTTCATAAATAAAAAGTTGACAGCTTGAAAATAGAACCGTGTTTTAGAATATATACTCGTAGTATTATAAAATACAAAAAAAGTTTTAGCAGATATGCAATGAATTTTTTTATAAAATTTTCTTAAACGGATTTTTTATATAAATACCCTTAAAAGTTTACTAACCAGAATACCACAGACCATTGATAGTTCTAGAAAGGTTGGAACAATATTGAAGAGCATTGCAGACAAAACAAAACTTATTCCCCGAGAGCCTCGATCTATCGTCTTAGACAATGCACCTGTCTGTCGGTTCAGATGAAAGGCTAAAATATAAAAAATATTAGTGAGCAGTGACATAAAATATAGTTTGCCCCTAGATTCTATTGCTTTAATCTTCTCTTAATAAAGTAAACTGATTTGACAAATCGGAAATAGTGAACCACTTCTGCATTTCCCTTAGGATTTATATTAAACCAATCCAATTCATACCTTCCTTCCATCAATGAGAAACGGTCTTAGGAAGATAATAACAAAAACATACCCAAAACAAGACACATGTGTTTGTTGTAATTCCAATAAATCTACCATGAATTTTTTTTAAAAACATTTATCTTAAGTCTATGTTGTTGAGACGACAAAACACATTTTGGGCAACTTTCCTAAGTAAATAAAAACTATGCTTACCCAAATCCAGATTATGGAGATGACGAAATACATTCAGAGCAATCTTTCTAATTGAATGTTGAGCGACGCGAGCGAATACTGCATTTCTCAGCTCACTGAACCCCAGAGCTCCAGCTCGGGCCATACCATATCCTATCACAGGAGGTTCATCAATCATCTACATTTGATACAGTGAGAAGAAAGCTCTTGAATAATACATGTTGACTCATGTTATGACTTCAATAATTCAATTAACATGAGACGCAGCAGTTGTGTAGTTTAGACAGATCCATATCACTTAATGAGTGATTTAACAAGTTACTACAGTAAAACTATTTGAATAGAAACGATATCATGTACACATTAATGAGTAATGTCGTCTGGTTCTCACTGTACATAATAATTATAAAAATACATAAAAACATAATTGATTGAAAACTGTGAGGTACTTGATGAACAAAATTATTTGGTACGATTATTTTTACAAAACATTTTTAAAAGCTTCTCACAATAAAATTTAAAAACTCCTCTTGGAATAAATATGGTGCCGATTTTATTTTGTCAATTCAGGAACTAGTGTAATAAAAGTATTTGAAGGACAAATATAATATTTGTAATATCTGCAAGGGAACCCGACATGGAACCCCCAGACCGCCCTCAGGGTGCAGTGCATCAAATATACTGGGTCCCCTCAGCTGTTAGTGGCTACTTTGTATCGAGGGGGAGGGTATCCATAATTACTGGAGTGAACAATTTTGAGAATTTTGAATTAAGTTCGGAAAATGATAAATTAGACATCAATAGGAAAATTTTTTCATCCTTTTCGATACCTTACCTCCAAAACTTCATTTATTAACCCCTTAAATCATCAATTTTTGAGAAAACCCTAAAAAAATTTTTTTGGGGAAAAATGATTTTTTAAGAGGGGGGAAATGATTCCCCGAGGAAAAATTTGTCAAGTATTAAAGACAGGAATCCATATACCAGGCTGTAGATACGGCTTGGCTACCGCCACTCGGGCATAACAGTATCATAGCACATGTCATGCTAACTCTGTGATCTACGCACCCCAAAATGGGGCTCTGGGTTGCAGGGAGGGGTGGTTACCTGGTCAATGGTCATAATAGATAGATAGATATAATTCCATCCAATACGATCCCAAATGATGATTGATTGATAGTAGGGGCAGAAATTAACCATGTTGTTTTTGTAAATAATTGGAAGTATGATATCATGTTGTAGAAAACATTCCATACTGGAGAATGTATACAGCAAGAGAATGTTATTTTTTGCTATACATCATTATTTATCTCTTCTATTAATTACTGATATTTACACTTTTTAACCCCCTCAATGCAGTACACATTTCTCAATTGTAGAACACGTACACAAAAACCTTGACAAAGTTTACAGCGACACAGAAAGTTTATTTTTATGCCCCTAACTGCACTTAAACACCAATCAGAAATGGAATTATATGGACCCCTGATTAAAAACTGTTTGATGAACTTACCTATTAATGTTGCTGAAACTAGAGTAACGACTGCAGCATCAGGGGTATCTAAAAATAATAATATAAAATGATTTCCTTTTTCAGTTTTTGGTAATTTGTAAATTCATGAACAATAAAACAATAAAAAAATGTAAAAAAAACTCTANCCCCCCCTCACTGAGCTATAGTTACCTAGGTTTAAAGTGTTGGCAGTATTAAGGGTATCTATGGCATGCTTGAATATAAACGGAACTGATGTGTTCAAAACCTAAATAGCATAATATTAATGGTTGATATAAATAAAATATATTAGAGATAAGGCTGCAAACATCTTAAATATCTTAAATATTAAAAGCATAAAACTTATTTGCAACCTTTCATAATATTAACTGTTCCAACTTGAAATAGTCTCGGATTTCACCAGAATTATTACATTTTTTTCCTCATAAGATTATCATAGTATTCTTACATTGGTAGAGACTAGAAGGGGGATCGCAACTTTAAGTCTTATTGTTTTAACATTGGCAGTGATTAGTAATGAGAATTCAACTATAATTCTTATTATTCTAACCTTCGCAGTGAATAGTAGGGAGAATGCAACTTTAAGTCTTATTATTCTAATCTTGGCAAGGACTAGCAGGGTGCAAGCAATTTTATATGTTATTATTCTAATCTTGGCAGTGATTAGTAGGGAAAATGCAACTTTAAGTTTTATTATTTTAACCCTGGCCGTGGCTAGTAGGGAGAATGCAACTTTAAGTTTTATTATTTTAACCCTGGCCGTGGCTAGTAGGGTGAATGCAACTTTTAATGTTATTATTCTAACCTTGGCAGTGACCAGTAGGGAGAGTGCAGCAACAACTCTTGTTTTTACTTCAGGATTATCTCTTGGCCAGATATATTCTCCCATAGTCTAAACTTTAGATTTCAGGTTGTCTTTTTTGGTTGTCTTTTTCAATACGTAAGTAGTAAGAGTAATGTGTATATTTATATATAAATCGCAAAAAAATCATTTATTTGCTTTCGCTGTTTTTTTATGCAATTCATGGATTAGATAATAAAAATGTGCTCATTGCATTGCATTCCGATGTTCTGGTTTAAAGGGGAGGGTTAGTTTGACAAATTTGACTACAGTTGGGGGTTCTGTCTTCATTTTTTTGAGGAATCTGAGTAAAATTTTGCATATGAACATCATTTGTGATTCTTTTAAGACATATAAAAAATTAGAAAAAAATATTTTCCCCTCCCTTTTCCCCACTTTTTTAATGTTTTTTTAAAGCTTTTTCACCAAAAACTCTAATTCAAATACCAGTTAGATGATTTAAACATCTACCTGTTAGTCAAACATCTCATTACTAACATCAGAAAGAAGTTTAAAGGGCTTACATCAGATCATCCCTTCTTTATCATATTTTCACACTTTGTTAACAGTTTTCATATTTTCTAGATTCGTGGATTCAGTTATGAAAAAAAAAATTTGCCCACCTGCCTAAATTAAATTTTATTTTTGTTAAACGNGGATATTTAATCAGTCAATCAAGCCATTATTTAAGCAATCGCTCAATCAAGCATCCAAGCTTTATTTAATATTTCCCTTTACTTAGCACCATTTAACGGAACTTCCCAAATGTATTCAAATTGGTCAAACTCACCCTCACCTTTTGCCATTTAAATCCAGATCTCTGAATCCGCATATTTTAGCGGATCCAAATGCGGATTTAATGGATCCAGATTCCAAGCAATGGTTTTTTAGATTTATACATTTCAATTTCATCAATTTACTTTGTTTGGTTCCTTTAAAGGTTTAATATTTTTTATCCTTTTCAGTTTTGCACATTGATGTACGCACTATGCATCACATGTTTAGGTATTATTGAATTTTGAGATATTATATTTACATTTGTATTTATCTTACCTTCAGCATATCCTTTCCTGTCACCTCCTTGTCCTTTTTTAACCCAGTTTCGTCCCTGGCCAAACCTAGAGAGGAGAAATAAGGAAATCTTTTATTTTACTATAATCTACGGATTCAGATTTTGTCAATTACCTCGGCAATATTTGATTGACTTTAGAATGTCCAAGGAGGAGATATTTTCAACATTTTTGACCCAATAATTGGATTTAGTTTTTTTTTTGGAACACTTTGAAGTCGTCTTCTATTCGCCTTTTTGAAAATTTCTTAAAGGGACCGTTTACTTACTTGGGAAATTTAAGGGTAAACCAAATAATCTGTTAGATATTCATTGGTATTATTCTTACTTTTCAAAGACAGCTGTGGCCGGAGAAATAGCCGATTTTTCGTTCTGAATTCCAGCGCGAAGGAACGATACCTTTGCATTTACACTATTTGATGCTTTTGTCATAGTCATGGGATTTAAAAAAATTTTCAAAAATTAAATTTAACTTAAGTATAATTAATTATAAACATTAATTATTTTAAAATTGTCTATTTTCAAAATATGACGTATTTCAAACATTTGACGTATTGATAAGTTTTCCCTACTTCCCCAAGAATCCCAGAGTTTGAGTCTAGGAACCGGGTTGAAGGAGAGAAAAAGGTTGTTTTTGTATAAACATGTTAAATCTTGTTTGAACATAAAAAACATTGATTTCTTCTTAATTATAATATCAAAAGTTTTCATATTTTTTTTATATAATGGTGACATATGACGTCATTGAAATATAAAAATTTTAGATTTTATTGGACTGCTGTTACTGAAAAATCGTTACAATAATGTCTTTGCAAAGGTATCATACATATGCGCTGGAATTCTAAGCAATAAATCGACTATTTCTCTTTGAAAAGTAAGACTAATACCAATTAATAACTACTAGGCTATTTAATTCACCATGAAATTACCCAATTAAATGAAAGGTCCCTTAATAAGACGAGATTTTGAATTTCGAATGTATAACCCTTTTTAAAGTCCTACTCCTATAGTTAACAGTTCGTAAATGGCATTGCATATTTTGTTGGAAATTCATGTTTTATTCTTTTCTTACTAAAACTGTATATTTTAAAAATTCAGTTTTGGTACAGGGTTACGGAAAAATGATGTTTGCTTATATTAATGATTCACTAACTCATTTAATAATCTATTATGACTACATTTAAGACAGAAGACTTAATTTAAAATATGACAATCCCTGGGATCATCATATATTAGGACGGCATTATAAGCTCATATATGTTTTGTGGGTAACCCTGTATAAGAAATGAGCAAAGTTTAAAGAACAATTCATAATCTGGATCCGCATCAAAATAAAATTGATCCTAAGCTATGGTGTTTTCTACCCCAGAATAAAAATGACACCATGTGGCAATTATATATGTTTATTTTTTACCCGCAACATAATTTTTAATATTTAGGAGAGAAAAAAATTCACATTCGTAGAAAAAGAAGAAAAACGAAAAAAATTGGAAGAAAAAATCTGATATTTTTTGGCCTTTGTCACCCCATGGCTCAGTGTCCACAAAAAATTTCAGCACATTCGGTCCAGTCGTTTTGCCGGCTATAGGGAATATATATATGAATGTCTTATTTTAAACAAAAACTGTTTGTAACAACTATTGGGGGAAAAACCTTGATATTTTAAAAAATAATCAGAAGAGTTCTCTTGTAGTGGAAATTACATCACTCTCAACGCTTGCAAACATGAACCAGTCAGAGGCGTATTCAGGGGGGCTATGGAAAATAAGCCCCCCCCCTCATGGACCAGTGAAATCTATTGATTTCGGGGGGTTTTCAGGCCCCACCGGGTGCTGAGCCCCCCTGGAAAGAAAAAAAAATTAAGCCCCCCCCTGGACAATTCCTGAATACGCCCCTGGAACCAGTAGCTAATGTTGTTAATTGTTTGGGTCGTTTTGTAAAAGCATTGTAAAACTGCCAAACTTTTAAAAATGTCAAAGTTAAAGTTAGACTTAGAAATATTTTTATCCTTAACAATAGAGAAAAAGATCCGAAATCAATCGTAATAAGTTGATAACATGGTCGTTATAGGTTCATCTTTTGCACCAGACTCAAAAGGCATCGTGAAAAACAGGCAAATGATAATAAACAATTTTGAAAACAATTTCCTTTCTCAAACTATATCAAATTATGACCCTAAAAGAAAATACAGCAGGAGTGTAATTTATCTCGAAAATTATTCCCTCCCCCCACCTTCAGAAAATAATTTTTCCCGAGAGTTAAAATGCTTTATAGAATTTCTATTGCTAAATTGGGAAAAATCATTTATTTTTGAGTAAAAAGTATCAAAAGAATGAAAAAATACTGTTGTTTATGTCCCCGGGGTGGTAATTCTGAAAAATATGTCACCCCTGTATTATGTGCAAAAAACGAACCAAAATCATCATAATGTATATCCCTACCTGAAGCCCCTGGATGAAAGCATGTTCGGACAGGTAGAAGTACAGGATTAAATCTGAAATCTTTAGAACTCATCCCGTACTTTCCTAAATAATGGGACTGTAGACGTAATTATTGAACATCCATAATAATAGGGGCCATGTCCGATTAGCAAATGTACCCTAACTAATGAGGAAGCTATTAGTATCATATGCTCGCTTCATTGTATCGCTGTATTACTTATTTACATAGAGCCCACTGCACTGAATTGAAACTTGCTACAGCCCAATTTTTTAAGCATGCTACTCTAGGTACAAATATAGGTTGTATTGATCTATCTACACTGATCTGGTAGAGTGTAACCATAGTATGACTAAGGTTCTACCTATGGTACACAACTAAGCAATTGGGCGTAGATGAATTTATTTTGACATTTACCTGATGCTCTAATATTTGAGAGAAGAAATTGGGAGGATTTCAATGTGGAAGAATACCTCATCCTAGAACAAGTAAATTTGAAGATTAAAATTTAAAATTTGACCATTTATGGGCACAGCTCTGTAGCTCCGACCAGGCCAGTAAACCAAGAACATGGGGGGCCAAGAGCTGTGGTTTTAATCAGGCTGGGGGACCGAGCACCGCTCCACAGAGTTTCGACCAGACCCTTGGCAGATCAGATGGATGTCCAATCAAATTGGAGCAAAAATGCAAGTATTGTTGTGAGGGGGTCCTTATAAATAACGAAATCTTAAACAGAAAATCATTCTCTAAGAAACTACCCAGACATAAACTCTTGTTACTTGTTACTTAAATCAGTTCTCACCCAATTCTAGAAGACCACGGAACGGTCCAACACCGAGAACTTAGCCGAAGAACGAACATTTTATCTGCACACGTTCTTTATAGTTTTATGTTAATGATACAAATAGAGTAATCAAATTAAACATGATTTTTACTGGATTCCAGTCGCGGATTTCAGCGATTTGATTTCTTTCAAACATGGACCCCGCGGCCATGGTTGGAAAGCCATCAGCTGACTTGTGAAGCAAAGCTACGGGGCATTCTAACTAGGCTCTGTTGAATGGAGGACCTTACTTGTTTTATGATTTAATTTGACAGCTTCATGTTTCATGTTGCAGATATATTTACATTTAACCGAATTCTTTCCTGAAATGAACTAATGATGTCAAAGTTTTAAATCCAGATCTAAAATTTTAGTTTTGAAAAATGGTTGCAAAATTTCAAGCTTTTCTCTTCTTTCGGAAGATTATTTTTTTAAGTGCAGCTTGAGTCATATGTTCAAAGCTGCGTATTTTTACCTGCTGCCTTCATTCCTTTCATGCGTAATTTTTATATAAATATTTCTTTTACAACGCAGCTCCGACTGGTGACTGGTCGCAGTGCTGAACGTGCAGTTTTTTGAAATTATCATCATTTGTGTAGTGATCGAAATTTTTCTTATTGAAAACTGAATTTTACGTTGCAAGTAAACTCTATTTTACTCATTTTACTGAATGTCAAGACTTCAGAATATTAACCCCCCCCCCCCCATAGCTGTTGGGTCTGTCCTAGTGAACGATTTTTGGACCCCTTCGTGCCCCCCTCTCCCCCCCTCCTATCAATTTTGTACATGACCATTTATTTATCAGCAAATTTATTATTATTTATTTTTTGTTATTTTATAGGGTTAGGTTAGGTTAAGACACTTCTGGGCCGAGCGCTGCGGCTAGGATGGGCTAGGGGGCCGAGCGCTGCGGCCACGGGTTAGGTTAAGTTAAGACACTTTCTGGGCCGAGGGCTGCGGCTAGGACAGGCTAGGGGGGCGAGCTCTGCGGCACGGGTTAGGTTAAGTTAAGACACTTCCTGTCAGACCCATGTACAAAATTGATAGGAGGGGGGGGGAGGGGGCACGGGGGGTCTAAAAATCGTTCTCTAGGAATATACCTAGCTGTTTAAGTATCAGTTTGTGTTATTTCAATTGTCCACAATAATCTCCTAAAACGCGTTTTGGACAGCCCCCCCCAGGTCCTATACCTTTTGTCCAAGACACGTGAAACAGATCCCCTAATAGTCGCAGAGCTATAGCCTAGAGAGTCCGTCCTAGCCGCAGCGCTCGACGCAGTAATTGCCTAACCCTAAAATAATATAAATAATAACTTTTTGAAAAATAAGTGTTCATGTACAAAATTGATAGAAGACGGGGGAGGGGGAGGGAAAGGGAAAGGGGTTCCAAAATCATAGGGTGGACCCAAATTTTTTAAAATAAAATATTCTTTGGCTTGTTTTTGTGATTTTAAAAATTAATACTTAAGCCCTTTGTGAGTTTGTGACTATCTTGTGTTCTCCAGTTTTAGGACTATGCCCCTTACTTCTCTAGCCTACAAAATTCCTTATTCTTTTTTTTTCCTTGATATTCTTCTATTACAATAGGCAATTTCTAAATCGTCAGTTTGTAATAAAGCTTGTGTCCCTGTTGACATTGTAGCCTATGAGATTGTGCCCATTGGTTTGGCATTGATAGTTACAAGCTTATGTCCGTGTTAACATTGGAGCTTATGAGATTGTGCCCATTGGTTTGGCTTTGATCGGTTTACAAGTTGTACCTGGACTGATAGATTTTTAAAGCAGTTTTAAGAGTGTACAGCATTTTCTACAAGTTTTCTTTACTCTTAAATGTCATGTTTTGAAATCAAGCATGTACACGGGGGGGAGGGCAGAAGTCCTCTTGCCCCCGCTGGAATTTATGGTCAAAGGTTGAAATCCGGTGTTCTCTAAAATCATTATGCAAGTGTTTGGCATGTCTTCCTGCAACCTCCACGAAGATTAGGGGGAAATAACATAAGGAGAGGATTAAGGAAAAATAAAGATGATGGGAGACTAATGATAGTCTTTAGGAGACTACTCAGGACTTCTGAGAGTAATACAGAATTATAAAGAGGGATATGTTTAAATATATAGTCCTTGAAGTAGGATAACAAAGGGGAGTTGTCTCAGGAGACTACTAAGGGCTTCAGAAAGTGATACTGAACTATACAGAGAAATACATTATCTATAAAATAAATTAAGACATTAGGTTTCGTATTGCCCGCCAAACAGCTTGACTGATTGGGCTAAAAAATTTTGAGGACCCTCATGGGTGGCCAGGGGTGTTATAGGCTAAAAAATTCTAATTTTTTTTTTCCACAGGCAGCACCGGGCCCTCCAGCTATTAATATATAGTCCTGGAATTGGGACTACAATGGGATACATAGGAGATCTGCAGTAAATTTAATATATAAGAAAAATAGCATTATTATGGTCTGGGGGGGGGAAATTATTTTTTTTGCCTTCCCCCTGGCTTAAATCCTGTGCATGCCCTCTAAGTCGCTAGGGGAATGGAAGACTAAGAATGACTACAGTTACTCACTTATGTAGCAAATGACGTTATTAATGGGACTACAGAGAACTTTAAACTCTGTTTTTAAATGTTCTTGTCGCATAGACCTATAATGGACTAAACAAAGGACAACATAGATAGATGCTGAATTCTACAGTTCAGATTAGATCCAAAGTGAAATGAAGACCTGACCTACATACAGACATTTAAGGGACTTCAGGGGACTACTAAAAGAAATGCGGTCCCATACAGAATTAAAAGGGACTGCAAAGGAATACAGTACAAAAATACAAGACTGTACAGACCTTGTAAAGGGACTACTATGGGATACAGAGAGAAATCTACAAGTTCATTTTTACTAACATTTATATACACGCCTCTCTATTAATCTCTGTTTGGGTGTTTGTCCGACCATAACTTAGGAACCCCTGAACCGATTTGCTCAAATTTTGATTGGGTAACTCGGGAGACCCATGGAGTGTTCTTAGCTTGGTTTTGAGATTCTAAGTTAAGTGGGTTGACTTTGATAGGGAAAATTTATTTTTTTGGTTAAATCGTTTAAGTGCAGGAAATGGCGGGAGTAACTTTTAGGAACCTGCGCAGCACAGGACTTCCAAGCTAGTTACTAATTTTTTCTGTACACATTACACCACCTTATTTACTAACATTTTGCTACGCACCCTCTCAATCCACTGATATTTCTATAGTCCACCCTCTCTATCTAGGAATATTTCTATACATGATAAACACTCTCTCCACTATCTATCTGCTTATAATTCTACCCACAAATCTATGTAATTTTAACTTTATCAATTTATATGAAACAAATTTATTGATACAGGTATTTAATGCAGAATGCAGATTATCACTTTTCCAATCTTCTTGTTTTCTGGCTGTTCGTTTTGCTTATTTAATTAGCTGCATACCCCATGGATGGTTATTGTGCAGTTTCGATAGCTGACCAGGCAATTTGTAGTATTTCAATATCAGCTCTTGAGTTTCTGTATTTATTCCAGTTGTGTTTGATATTGGCTATCTATGCAGGTGTATTGCTGACATCGTTGTATAATGAGAACTTCCCTTGGTCAGCTGCATTACATGTATCAGTGTCTTGCAATAATTTAGATAGAAAATTAAAAGACCTCTTTCCTAACCCTAACTGCATTCTGGTATGTTCAAGGTCATTTAGATGTACTATCTAGGAAAGGAACACCATAATACCAGTGATGATCTCTCTCAGAAAGTTTTGATTAAGCAGTTTCTGAGTTCCACTATAAGTTAAGTAGGATAAGGTTGGATTTTAGGAGGTTGGAGGACGAGGATGGAGGTGTAAGGGTAGCAGGTATTAGATAAACCATAGTCCTTACTGTTAACTTGTATTCCCACATGGACAGATTTTTTAAAGAAGAATTAACCCTCTAAGTAAGCTGTTCCAGCGCTTTGTAACATGGGGAGTGTATCTTTTGTCTATCAGTGTCAGAGGTCTGCTATGAGTAATCCAGTTTCCATTGTGAGAAGGGTAAAAAACTAGTTTGTGGTATTTGATTTTACGACTAATGAAGGCTTTGTTCCCCCTTAAACCTGTATCAGCATGTACTTCATCCTTTTTGAGTTTCTGTATTTCTTCTGTATTCATCTTTATTCCTATATCTTGTCTGGGATTATTCAAGCTTTCCACTCAGTTGTGGAGCTTAGTGGCCTTGATATCTAGACAACTATACAAGTACAAAGCACATAGCGCCATTTCTCTCAACAGGCTTAGAAAGCTCTGATGACACCCTTCCTCTGGGAGGTTTGAATACACACTGCTAATCTATGTAATAAAACGATACATTCACAAATATATTGTCAAGTACAATAGATGGCAACAGAAAATTCGACCAACTTCGCAAATTACCCTGTCTCAAAAGTAACATAGTTTTTGAGGGTATAACAATTACTACAGTACACATTATACCATCATACACAACAACAACAACTACAAAAAAAACAATCAAATACAAAAATAATTTATTAAAAATTAAATGTAGAGCACATTTATCTCCAATTTCAGTTGTCTCCTTCGATTTTTAAAGCATTAAGCCATAATTTGTCTTCTTGTTCAGAGGGGATGAAACCTGGATGTCCCAGGGAGAGGACAGCATCTAGACACAAAACAAGTTCTTCCCCCCTAAACGAAAAATATAATCTATTTTAAAATAAGATATCATTTTATGCATTATAATGTAATGTTGACTTCAAATTTGTTAAGTATTACCTCCCCCCCCTCCCAAACAAATTATTAATTTCTTTTCCAGAAAAGGCTTAATAAACTTGATTGGTTTTTAGAAAAATGTGGATTTTTAATTAAATCAATTTCAATTTATGGGAAAACTTACTTTAGCTTAAGTTCGTTATATTTAAAAGTTTCCTATCGTCTTTACTGTCTCATCCTTTGTGTAACATTGTACATAGATTTTACATTAATTTCATAATTCAAACAATAATTTTCAAATATTCCTTATGTGTTCCAAAAATTTTTAAATAAGACATTTGAGAAAAGTTGAAATCCTTTTAAAGACAACATTTCATTTAAAAACTACCTTTTCTTTTTGCCTGTACTTCCCCCAGACCTGGGGGTTTAATCTCAGTTAAACATTTCCAGAGGACTTCCCTGAGTATGTCATTAAACATTTCTAAAATATGTTTTAACATAATATATTAAAATTACAATGTTATATGGTTGTTTACAATATCAGTTTCAATCCCTTTGGCTCCTTTATTTAGTCATGGGGACTTGAAATGAAAAAGTGTAAAAACAGAAAATAAGGAACACAAAATTACACTGACTTCACTAAAAGATAAGCACAGTCTAAAATTATCACTTCAATTTATAATTTTGTCAGACAAATTATATTGATACATTCTAATGTGGTTTATAAGGCACGCAACAATTGGAAATGTACATATTCTATATAGTAAAAAATGGGAATAGATCAAATGCCTAATTTTAAAACAGCACAACACTGAGTGGACACTTATTACGTAGATACAGCTGAACTAAGATTGTACACATTCTGTGTTTCCACCTATTGTACGAGGGAGCAGGGGCCATGTGGCCATGAGCCCCACAATATCCTGTCCGAACCCAGGCAGTTTGCAGAACCCTGTTCCAACCCCACGAAACCCTGTTCCAACCCGTGGATTCCTGTCCAACCCCTCCAAAGACTGTTAAAAAGAAAATCTTTTAATGATAATGAGATGATAAGTTCTCATATAAGAATAATTGAAGAATAAGAATTGGAGTAATAATTTTTGTAGGTTTCTAACCTAAACAGAAAATCAGTGTTTCTGTTAAGATAAAAAGTTTTAACTTACTTGAAGAAAAAGAGTGTTGGTAAATTGAGTTGTATTTCACTGTGTAGATATAAAAAACAGAACTTAGTTTACAATATGTACAGAGTTTATATAGGTTCATCTAAACAGCAGAAGATATTGCAAAAAGGTTTTGGCAACAATTTAGCAATAGTTTTGCTTGAGCTGGGTCACTTGTGTATTATGAGTAAATCATTTTTATGTTGAAGGTTGAATTCTCAAACAGAAGAATATGAAAATCTTGACACAAATTTCCCTTTTCTCTAAATATAGAAAAATCAGTAAATATATGGGCTGGTTTTCAGATCCTTCCCTTATCTTATCTAATCTTATTTGACTTTTTATGTTGACTGAAAAAGAAAAGAAAAAATATGATTCTTATTCTGGGTTGTTAATGGGTTGTCATTAACGCTTGATAAAACTGGTGACCAACTTTTCTTATCTTTCAGACAGCTATTGATAGTTTATTATTTATTATTTTTATATGGAAAACTAGTGATCTACAGTTAATGTGTTGGATTTTTAGAATTTACCGTTTTATAAAATGTTGTATTCAGCATAGTTTAATTAAAAAACTTACTTATATCATTAATGTGAATTCTGCTGTAAGATGTTCACAAAAGTATAGAAAATTATAATTTTACAAAATTTGGGTGATTAAATTTATTGCACAATAAAAGTCAACTTCCTTCTACTTTCCTCCACATCCCTTATTATTTCCTGCCCCTTCCTTCTTCTCCCCCCTAGGGAAGTGTAAACTAACATATTTAAGTCACAAATAAACAATAAGAAAAGAATATACAGGGTGCTGATTTTTTTGTATGTAAAAAAACTTTGTTGAAATGGCATTATTAAAGTAGTGTTTTAAGGTAATTGTTCAGCATTTTGAAGCAGAATTTGGAAGGTTAAAACTATTCTATGAGATAAACTAAACTTATTATTATTATTATTATTATTATTTCGGGTAGCGCGCTTAACTTCAAAAAAGGGGTATACCGTCAACCAGGTAAAAGCGATTACGTTAACGGTCAAAGTCCCAGTGCTAAAAACAATCAATACCCTCCCCCCCACACACATCCTCGTTTATCCCTTCTCACATTTCATGATCTGCATGGTACACAAATGATACATACTTTCTAACATACACTGTGACCTTATAATTCTGCCGGAAAGTAAATGTTATCGTCTGTTGAGGTTGCTTTCTTTTTTTTTCAGGGTTAGTTACTTTTTCCAATTCCTTAAAGGAGTATAACATTATTCAATTTTTAAAAAAAATTGATTTTATGATTTATTATGAAATATAAATGGTCTTTCTACCTGAAAAAATAGTTTTCAATTGACGCTTATATATTCGGAAAACTTGTATAAGACAGCTGCTTACTGAGGCCGATTCAGGCTGCCTCTATCAGGCAGTAAACAGGCCTTTCATGCAATCCTGGTTCTGCCTTAGTATGTAAACCATGTTTTGAAAGAATATGTTCAACTTAAAATTTAAATTGAAGGATTTTAAGTTAAGGAATTTTTTGCTGTTAAAGACGAGATTAAATGTCGTTTTTGTATTAAAGATTTTTTATTTATTTTACACACTCTATTTCCTCTATTACAAGTACAATTAAGGTCTTTTAGTGGTAGTTCTGTGTTGATTATTGAGCTCTTCGATATTACCGTGAAAAGTTGAATATTTCAAAAGGATTTTCGTCGTTGTGTTTTCTTTTATAATACCGAAATTGCGCAATATGTAGTGTTTTTTTAGAAATTCTAAAACCTTTTCCTAAATCTAAATGACGTTTCAGAATTTAAAATAAGAAAAAAGCGACTGTTATTTTACTGTTTTCTTGTATTTTTCAGTCGTGTTAATTATCAAATTTGTCAACGTATTAAATCTCTGTCTCGTATATTTTTCTTTTGAATAATGACATTTTTAACTTATCCTGAATTTTTATGCATATATGATATATGTTAGACATTAAACAAAAGGTATGTTTGGTGTCAAAGTTCAGTTAAAATAAACCTTAGTGATAAGCGTTTTATTGCATTTATATGCAGTAAACACCGTACATTCTAATGCATAACATTTGCATGTATAAACATTTTTTTAATTTACTTCGCAAACACTAATTTATTCAAAGAATGGAGTGCTTGTAAAATATTAAGCCTCAGTCGCCAATAATATCATGGAAAGAAATTAACTTTTTAAAATTTCTAACACGAAGAGATTTCATTTTTTGAACTATTAACCCCATTTTATTAAACCCTATTTTGTATTTCAAATTGACTCAAAAAGAAAAAGGCTCTAGTTGTATTACTTGAAACTGAAAAAAACTGAAAGTAGAACATTTCAATTTAAAAATTTCATCATTTTTCAAAAATTTCGGAAAATACGATTTGTAATTTATTTTCCATAGTTTTCGTATAATACAATATATATTTTTTTTTTCAGAGTAATGTAGAACTACAAAGCGAAATCTAAAACATATAATCATGTTAAGTGCAAAGGTATATTGTTTAGAAAAGAAGTAAGCTTTAAGATGTAAAATTATATGATTATTTTTTTATATTTTTTATTTTCGGTGAAATAATTAATTTGAAATTGAATTTAACCTACCTACAATGTTGTCCTCTTGAGATAAAGATAATCTTCAGATCATTCGACAACTTTTTTGTATCATTTTTATATTAATTCAATTTCTTTAAAAATATAAGAAACCTTTTTTTTCTGAAAGCAACGTTTTTTTATTTACAAAAAATGTTAGGGGAATAAAATAAAAGTTTCAATTAAATGACTAAGCAAATAAATGATCAAAACAAATATTCTTCCTAATTTTTATTTTCTGACATATTTCTCCCTGTTTTGTTATTAGCATTCTATTTATTCATTATTTCGGGGATTTCGCTTTTTAAAATATTGATCTAATTTCTGTAAATCTCCCAATAAAATTCTTGTAAAGTCGCAAAATGCCTAAATCAAGAGGTTTTAAGTTAAGTTAATTTTCCTTGTTTTATACTGACTAAATATGAGTAAAATTATTATTTTCCATGCTTTTGATGTTTTCGTGTTTCAGTTATCCATGCTTGTATGCCTGGGCGCTTCTCTCAGTGTATGGGGGGATCGATTATCGTTATGGATGAAGATGGGTCTGGTCGGTGGTGCCTGGGTTCTAGCTGGAGGGGTCAACACAGCAGCTATAGTGCTCAAAACCTTGCCCAGGTAATTTAGAAATTATAAGTGCTGAGCGCCACACGTTAACTCTTTCAGAAGCGCTCAATGCTTTAAGAAACCCACCCTCAATTTATCCTTTATTATTTTATGTGTAATGTAGCTGAAAAAAACTTTGTTAGTTTAAAATTTTAACATTCTTTATCATACTACGTCGGTTTTATACTTTGATACTAAGTACACATGTTCAGTAAACATTCTGTAATGTTTGCTTTAAAAATATGGCCAATATTCAAATTTATGCATAAATAAATAGAAAAGTACTGATTTTTCCTAAAATATCTATGTATATTGTATAATCTCCTGGCAGAGTTTGAAACTTTTGAACTAACAGAATGAGTTCATTTCCATTAAAAGTTCCAAATGCAAATATAACTACATAAATTTTGTAATTTCATGAATCCCGACTTTAGCTATGGTGACAGTTTAATTTTAGATAGTTTTTTTGTATCATTAATACGTTTTGCCTTTCTTAAATTCATTACAAACATTTGTTTCATCGCCTGAGGTCAGAATTAATAAATAGTGAGCTGGAAAGTTATGGTGGAAAGAGTGGCCAAGAGTTTGTATTAGCAACTAGTTCAACTCCTGTCGCTATTCAATAAATCAAACCTCAGGGATCATTAAAAGATGAAATATTCACAACTATGAAAAAAAATTGAAAATGTTTACATAATACTGAACGTACAGGAAAATTTGATGAACTAGAGAGTTAATGGATGAAACTACATGATTGATTGATTGATTGATTGATTGATTGATTGATTGATTGATTGACTATGATTGATTGTGTAGGGATGTTCGAGCAGTCTGGAAAATAATCCGGTTGTTGTATTTCATCAAGTCTGCACAGAGGAACAATCTCACTGTTCCTAAGATGTTCGCCAAATCAGCAAAGTACGTTCATTCTTTAATATTTATTCATTTATTTATTTATTTATAATTTCAAGGAAATATAGTTCCTATGTCTAATTAGTCACCCTTTTAATTTTTTCTCAGCAAGATTAAATTTAATCCTTTTGGCTATCTGTTAAACTCCTCCCATCAGCTTCATATGCTAATACGTGGAACAATTCGAAGCAACCAAAAACCAATTTAAATAAGATCTTAAAAATACGATTCAGAAATCTTAAGTTAAGTAATCGCGTTAAAAATAAAGTTTTCTAACTTGTAGATTTTGAGTTTAGATGTCGCAAATTAGCGCTATGTCTATTAAATGTTCCGATCTTGTTAAAAAACGAAAATCTGTATAATTTATATTTTTATTGTTTAAATTATTTACCTGTCAAGTTATTGGTTTACAAGCTTGGGAAGCCCAGCTTTGTCTGGAAACTGTATTTTCCCAAAAAGGTCAACCTTCTAATGTTTTTTACTCAGCTTAGACCCGTTATACTTCAGAATTTCCCAATCAAAATTTGATACAAAGCGATCAAGTGGTTCATGAGTTATGATCGGATATTCAAATAGAAAAACAGATAGCTACTTAATGTATGTATATTATATAGATAAATATTAGCTGTAAAGATTAAAAGACTTCTAACTATTGACTATTTGTTCAGAAGGTTCCCGGAGAAAGTGTTGTTCTATTTCCAGGACGAGGTCTGGACGTTCAAGAGGGTAGAGGAGTACAGTAACAGGTATATCTATATAATAGAGCTCTTCGCTCATATATATAATATTTATATTTTTATGTTAACCATAGCTGGCCAAACGGCTAGACCAAATTGACTAAAAAAATTACAAATTATAATATTAAGCGATTTATGGTTTTAATGCAGATAATCATTTTTTCAATATTCTTCTTTCTTTACATAATTTAAAGGCATAATAAATTCTACATTTGTTATTTTCAAAATGATTTTAAATTACACTGGCAACGCCGGGCATATTATACATACACCCAGCTACTGGTGGTACCGTCCTGGCCCGCTTAGTTTGTTTATTTGTGAAGGGTGCAGTCTGTTGGATTGAAACTTCACTAAATTGGAACAAATTCGAGAAGCACTTTTTTATTTATAATTATTCCCATCTTTTGACAGAAAACTTAAATTGTCTTTTTCCAGCTCTCTTGCTTTAGTGTAAAATATATTTGCTAGGATTGCGGATTTCTTCCTGAGTTCTGGGTTTGTAAAGGGTGACAGTGTCGGAGTTGTTATGGGGAATAAACCAGAGTTTGTGTGTGTCTGGTTGGGACTCTCCAAAATAGGTATTTGGATGCTGATGTAAATGGATGTGTGGGAACTTTGTGTTTTAGACGAAAATCCAAGATGAAAAAACAAATGAAAAAATATTGTACTATTATTTTTAGATCAAGCTGCATATAACAAATTATTGGATGTTATCTTTCCAGAAAAATGAAATAATAAAAAATATATTTGTATGGCTTTAGGGGGATTAGGATCATTATTGGATTATAGATTTTTATTTTACTAACAAAAACTACGAAGAACTACATGAGAAAATATGAAATAATTAATATTTATTTATACAGATGAAATGAAATGAAAGATAGATCGTGGAAGACCCCCAACGTGGGATCCCCAGACAGATATGTTTGAAAATATGAAAATGTTGCGTTAGTCTTCAAAAAAAGCTCGTGTAATTTTTAATACAATATTTTGTTAACTGTATATTGTATAAGGTGTTCTGCCAGCCCTCATCAACTCAAACCTACGGTCTGAACCTCTCTGTCACTCTATCAAGGTCGCCAAGTGTCGAGCTGTCATTTTTAGCTCAGAGCTAGCGCAGGTACTAAGTACATACTACATTTAGTAAAATGGGGGGTTGGAGGAAGATAAACTAGAAAATTCAATTTTTAATCAACCTCAGGCTGTAGATATAAGCTACGGTAGTTGGGGCTTCACGGCTTCGGCTACTGCCACTCGGGCATTATAGTATCATTGAACATGTCATGCTAACTCTGTGATCCATGCACCCCGGAAGGTGGAGGGGTGGTTACCTGGTAACACTTGTGTTATTGAGGATAGATAGATAGATTAAACATTTCTTGTGCAATGCATAGAATAGAGTTACCCTTTATATGTAAAAATTCTTTTCTTTGTGCTTTAAAAAATTTTCAAATATTTGAACTATTAAAGCAGATTAAAAACTTTCGATTTAGCAACTCATTTAGATATCTACTTATTCCATAATCCTTTGAAATTTGAAAAAAATGTATTAATTTTTATGTTTTAGGCCATTGAAAGTATATTTGGAATGTTAATGACGGATACGGGGATATACTTCCCTACATACAGTATTGGAGCTAAACATACTTCATCTATTCATGGTTCCATTCATCTTGATTCATCACTTCATGAATACTCATCAGCATCTGTTAGGTTAGTGCTCTCATATGTACATGTTTTTTATGCATAGTGTACAATAGTTCAGTGTATTGTATCTGCTTTTTTCTAAATTCCTTTACTAAATGCAAACCTCTTTTAATATTAGTTTTCAAATGTATAACTTAATAAATAAACTATTTTAGTTCTGATGTTCAAGACTCAATACAGTTCAATGATAAGTTGATGTATATCTACACTAGTGGAACTACTGGACTCCCTAAGGCAGCAGTTATAAAGCATTCCAGGTATAGAATTATGTGATTTGATAGAATTAGGGTTTTCACTTAAAAACGTTTAAATATAGTACAAAGAATATAAAAACGAATCTCAGTTCAGTTCAGTTCAGTTCAGTTCATTACAGAAACTTAAAGACTTTGATCAACCTTCCTAATTTTATCCTAGCCAAGGACACTTAGCAAATTGTAATTTCAATTTCTGCATGTCTTAAAGCACTTGATTCATTTGAGGGAAGGGGTCTACTTACTACTAATTAAGGTCCTTTAATATGCAACAAGATTAATTCATGCAGCGAAGTTTGGATTCCCTTGGTTCAAATTTTTAATTGTTCTTTTTCAGTTTTTACAAACAGATAGGGTTGGTCACGTTCCAACTTCTTAAGCTGTTTCGTTAATGGTTGATGAAATCATTAACAGCCCAGACATTAACGGTCATTACAGTATTAACGGCGTTAACAAACAAAAATGTTGGTTGACGGCTTATGTAATCGGTAACGGTTGTGAACAAGCAGAAAAAAAAAGAAATTCACTGCTTTAAAAAATCCGTTTAATTTTTTTTTTCTTTAAAAATGGCAGATCCATTTTGTTAACGATTTTGTAATCAACGGTTTTTGCCGTTCGTTAACGGGTTTACAGAAGGACACTATTTTCTTCATATTTTAAAATGTATTTGTCAAACAAGAATATCGGATAATCAGATCTAATAAAATTATTAATTTTTAAAAACTTTTTTCATCGCATTTGACCAACATTACCGACCCATGATTCCCCCATCACAGGGACGTTAAGTTACTCTACGTCCCTTGGGACAATTATTAAAAGAGCGTCCTGCTCAGGCTCTGCGAAGTTTTAATCCAAAAATGCGCTTATATTCATCTTAAAAGACAATAAAATTATGTACAACTACTTTTTCGGTAAATTAAAATTTTTACTAACCACGGGCGGTTCCCTTGGTCGAGGGAACCCTTGGTAAAGTAAAATTTCCTCAACTTCCCTCTTAAGTAGTTGTAAATAAATATTAACATCCTTACTCCTAGATATTTACTGAACACTCCAGAGAGTGAGTATGAGTCCCAACACTCAGTTCGGCTCATGTTCGGAAATGGTCTTCGGCCAGAGATTTGGCAGGATTTCGTAAACAGGTAAAATAATAAAATACTTCAATATAAAATAATTACTCTGAAAATGACGTTGATTTTATGATTTATTACGTGAAAATATTTTTATAGGTTTAATATTCAAGATATCGCAGAATTTTATGGCTCTACGGAGGGGAATTCGCAGGTTCTAATTTATTTATACGGTTAATCGATTAAGTGAATTACCTGTTCATCATCCATAGTCTAGAATCCATCTTTATTTATTCATCTAACTGTTCCCTTCTCTTTCGAATTTTTTATTTTATTTTTATTTCTGTATTTGAATTATAAAATTATTTAGGTTCTGAACTTTGACAATAAAGTTGGTGCAGTAGGGTTCCTTCCAGTTCTATTCTCATCAATACTACCCCTTGGTACTATCAAGGTTTAAGGATTTATTTATTCTTCTTTTATTATAATTATTCTAGTCAATAATGCTAATGCTAAACGTTTTCATGAAATTTTTCTTGTAACTTGACTTGATGACCTCAAAAAGTGATTCTCGATTTCTAAATCGTTTTTATTTTCTTTGTTATTTGTATGGTTTCAGAGCTGTCAACTTTTAAATAAACGCATTGAATTAAACTTATTTTCTCTTCAGTTTTAGCTTGTAGATTTCATTGCTTCCTTTTATCATTCACTTTAACACTTTGACCCAGGTGGATGAGAACGGCGAGCCTGTACGTGACCCTGTTTCTGGACTCTGTATTCGGTATTTTTTTTTTATTTATAAATTGTATTTGGAAAGTTTTTTTTAAATTCTGGACTCTGTATTTGGATAGGTTTTCTCAAATTTCTGTACTTGTTGAAGTACCATCAAATATCCATCCATAATTCCTTTGTTAATTTCTAAATCAACCAATTTTAACTCCGCCTTAAATGCAAATATTTCAAAACACTTTCGTTTTAAATGAATGTTAGAAATATCCATTTTAGATCTCTTTATTTTATTATAGTGACTTTTCAAGTCAACAAATGTATATAACTAAAAATTCTTGAAGAAATAGTAATTCTTATCCCATTTGTTCAAAAACTTTTCAACAATTAAATGAGAGGCGGTTATTTAGTTTTTGTTCAATCATTTTTAATAGTTAAATATTTGTTAAACTTATTAATGTTTCACTTCTTTTTAGATGCAAAGCAGGAGAAGCTGGGGAATTTGTTGGAATCATTCAACAAAACCATCCGATGCGGTAATTTCTAATTAAAGTCTATGTTTCAAAGTAAATTCTCCTAGCACTTTATTTTTAAATTATCTTTTCCAAGTTATTGTATTGAAAAAAACAGACTCGCCGCTTAATTATAGTAAGTCAACTTGGATAAAAATAATGAGATACACTACAGTAAATAAAAATACTTTCTTGAATGTATTAAAAAGTTTTAATACATTCATAAACTATAGTTTTGTGAGGGAAAATAAAGCACCAAACCTTATAAAATCTGAATGCTTCGAAGCCCGAAGGTTAAAGATATTTGACATTGGTTTCAATTTACATTTAATAGTTCTAGGATTGCATCTTCTATTTTAACTTTCGGTTGTGACCTTATCTGTGAGCATTTCGTCTTTGAACATTATAAAACAAAATAAAAAAAATTGCGAGTATTTTCAACCTTTTATTCTAGAATTTTCAAAATTTTACGAAAATAAAAAATATTATGATTTAGGTAATATTTTTATGGAAAATAGCAATAATGTATTTGTCACTGATTAATGATTAAAGATTATGATTGATTCCATTAAGTATAATTTTGCAGAGAGTTTGTCGGATACTCAGATAAGGAATCCACAAACAAGAAGATACTCAAGGATGTTTGGTCCAAGGGAGATGTTTGCTTTAGATCAGGAGATATCCTGGTCTCAGATCAATATGGTTATCTTTACTTTAAGGTAAATCACGTTAAACTAAAGTAAATTGTACGTTATCTTTACTTTAAGGTAAATCACGTTAAACTCAAGTAAATTGTACGTTATCTTTACTTTAAGGTAAATCACGTTAAACTAAAGTAAATTATACGTTATCTTTACTTTAAGGTAAATCACGTTAAAATAAAGTAAATTGTACGGAAGTGTTTGACTCTCACCTCTTATGGTAGGTTGAGATCAAATCTTGATAATAATATTTTGATCATGAAAATGCATGACACTAGTCTAAAATTATTGTATTACAAAACAAGGTCAAAGAACCTAAAATATAAACGCATTAAATCCTTGACGTTACAATATTTATATACTTTCCTTTAAATGTCTCATCTATAAAATTCCTGCATAAAATGGTCTCACTTTTCCGTTTAAGTCTCCTGGAATGGATATTTTATTAATTGATTGTCTTTTAGTTCTTAAATCTAACAGTACGATTGAAACAACATTATATGTTGTCAAGCTATTAGGAGAAAAAATGTTTTTAATTTCTGATACAGAACCAGATAATTTTGCCATTCTAATACATAATGCTCATTTTTAAAATCAAATCCGTAGGAGCTACGAAGTGACAAAGTTGTAGCAGTAACATTTTACCTTTTCCTTCTGTCTAGTTTGAATGGAAATGCAGTGGAGTTGCTTGATTTAGAAATTATCTATATTTCTAAATGATTATGAACAGACGACCCCAGGCGTGATTGTACACGTATCTTAAGGGGAAGTACTGATGGGTGTGGCTTCATACGGGGATTAAAAATCCCCCAGAAGTTTTGTTTAATAATAATAATAATGAACAGTTTAAATTATGAAAAAAGCATTGTAGACGTAATTTCAAGTGACCCTCCATTTTTAAGGGAGGATCTGAATGTCCGATACACAACGATACTCTTTAAATTTTGGCGGAAAAAAAACTGGGAGAGTTATCCCTGTTCATTCTCTTCAAATTCACTGGTTCTGCGTAAAGTGACTTGCTGATGTTTAAAGGGTACCGTTGTGAATCTGGTATTACCATTTAACTATTAGGATAGGAGGGGAGACACCTACAGATGGAAGGGGGAGAATGTGAGTACAGCTGAAGTTGAAGGGATTATCTCAAGGAAAATATTTATCTTCAGCCTACAATATTTCCATAACTTTAAATTTATCCTAAAGGGTGTCCTTCCTTATAGACATGGGAATTAAAGGGAGTCACCTGCATTGTATGGTAGTTGAACTTAGATTGCAGCCTATTGAGAAATTTTTTAGGATTCATTTGAGACCTATATTTGGGTTCCAGCTTACCCAGTAGACATCGTCACTCAATTCCTATGTTTATTGGGACACTCTAAATCCTTTACACTATATTGGATATATATCTAAACCTGATGGTCAATAACTTAAACTTAAAGAAATATTTTAGATATCAACATCAGTGATGGAAACCATTTGATGTATGCTTCCAAATAAATTAAAACCTTTTTTGAGATATGTGATTGCAGGCCACCCTAAAACTATCTTAATCTTTTCTTTGTGTTTTCAATAATTGTCTCTGATTATGTCGACTAGTCTCTATATAGTTGTCCCATATCTACCTGTGTTAAAGATAAACATATTAAAGAGCTGTTGGTTTGGTTGATGTTGTAGTCTACGGTGTACTAGTTCCTGGATGTGAAGGCAGGGTCGGTATGGCGGCCATTGTTGAAGATTTAGGTAAATTCATTTCTTTTTATTTTATTCGCTTTTATTTTATCCGATTTAGTTTGACTATTTACAACTAAATCTTAATTACAGAGCCCATATGGTTACAGTGAGATCTAGAAAACATGGAATAGGAAGACGACTTCTAGACTCAAGTTATGACTTAAATAGTCCAACGATCATAATACGCTGCAATTGCGCACTGTGCAGTGTAAACAGACTGATTTCACTTAATAACTGATTTAATAAGTTACTTTAGTAAAACTATTCGCTTTGTAAAAACATGAAATACATTTTAAATGTTTTTTAATGTCGTCTACCTTTTCCGCAGTTTTTTGGTTCTCACTGAAGTATTGTTTCCGTAGGATCTGGATGTTGTGTTGACCTGCCTAAACTATCTGTTGACCTCACCTCTAAACTACCCAGCTACGCTAGACCAGCATTTATTCGACTTGTTAGGAAAACATTTATAGATTTTTCACATAGAAAGCTCATGTATATTTCCTGCTTTTTTCCAAACAATCAAAACGCTAAGCAGATATCAGAAAAATATGAGCTAGCCAGACCACGCTTTAAAAATTTCGAAGTGAGACAGTTAAAATAATGTTTTCGCCTCCCAAAACTAAAAAAGAAAAAAAATATTCTCAATTATTAAAAAACTGATGATTTTTTACTTTTTAGACATTTTTCTTAACAATGTTACAATGTGTGCTTTTTGAATATTGAATTATATTTAACCAATATAAAAATAAAATATTATAAAAGGAACATTGAATAAAGTTTGCGGTGAATTCAATTAAATGTTTGGTTTCTGCAGAGAGCTGGATATGACAGGAACTTTCAAACTGAAGAAACGGGATCTACAGGTACTGAATACTAGTGTACATAGTTCTGTACTGTATACTGTACACTGTACATAGTTCTGTACTGTTTACTGTACACTGTACATAGTTCTGTCTTATTCTCATACCCTGTATCCCTCTAGTCAATAATAGATACTACACCCTGCACCATCCATTCTTTCATTATATTCTCCCACCCTATATAGTATTCTTTATTCAATAATAGATACTACACCCTGTATCATCCATTCTTCCATTATATTCTCCCACCCTGTATCCTCTATTCAATAATAGATACTACACCCTGTATCCTCTATTCAATAATAGATACTACACCCTGTATCATCCATTCTTCCATTATATTCTCCCACCCTGTATCCTCTAGTCAATAATAGATACTACACCCTGTATCATCCATTCTTCCATTATATTTTTCCACCCTGTATTCTTTATTCAATAATAAATGCTACATACGGTACCATCCACCTTACATTATATTCTCCCACCCTGTATCCTCTATTCAATAATAGATACTACACCCTGTATCATCCATTCTTCCATTATATTCTCCCACCCTGTATCCTCTATTCAATAATAGATACTACACCCTGTATCATCCATTCTTCCATTATATTTTTCCACCCTGTATTGTATCCTTTAGTCAATACTAGATACTACTCATTGTATCATCACTTTTTCCATTATATTCTTCCACCCTATATCCTCTAGTCAATAATAGATGCTACACACTGTACCAACTATTCTTCCATTATATTCTCTCACCCTGTATCCTCTAGTAAATTATAGATACTACACCCTGTACCATCCATTCTACCATTACATTCTCGCACCCTGTATCCTCTAGTCAATGATGAATGCTACATATACACTGTACCGTCCATTCTTCCATTATATTCTCCCACCATGTATCCTCCAGTCAATAATAAATACTACACCCTGTACCATCCATTCTTCCATTATATTCTTCAACCCTGTATCCTCTAGTCAATGATGGATGCTAAACACACCCTGTACCATCAATTTTTTCATTATATTATCCCACCCTGTATCCTCCAGTCAAAAATAGATACTTGACCCTGCAGTCGCTGTCAATTTTTTGTATTCATTTCCTTCTTTTAAGTTTTCTCGTAAAGAATTTACACAGCATGAAGTTGTGTTGTATAAACAACGGATCTTGCAGAATGATGTTGTGTCTTTCCTGTAAACTCAGAAACTTGGTTTACAGCCTTAACTGTTGGATGAGTTTCTAACCATATTAGAAAGGGGGGGAAGGGGAAATAAAAAATACAATTTTTGATAGTTTTCCCATGTAGTTCTAAAATATTTTGTCAGTTTACAGTATATTATATACTACATCTGCTGATATATATTATCTAAAAAGGAAGACGGAGTTTCTTAAGTATATTAAGTATATTAAAAATAGACTTCTAAACTCTCTTTTTGAAAATTACATTACAATGTACATATCACAATTTTTTTTACCATCAATTTATTCAAACAAATGTATAACCTATTTTGCATAAGATCTATTAATATTACTCCTCACATCTATTTACTTGAAAGGTTTTGTTATCATTATTGAAATTAGGTGGAAAAATAATTAAAACAGCCAAGAGCTATTTTCCACCTGTATACTAAAATTTGTAATTGTAAATTCGTTCTGTAGTCTGTACACAGATACATGTATTTTAGCAATAAACTTTATCTTATCTTATCCCTAATATTATTTTGTTAAGAATGAGGGTTTCGATATTACTCTGATAGAGGACAGGGTCTTCTTTTTTCAAGCTGGAGAATACAAACCATTGACTAAGGTACCTTTCTAAATCTAAACTTAAAAGTTGATATTGTGTTATTTTTTTCATGCCATATAATATTACTGAACTTTTGCAAAGATTCTTTAATACTTGGCCATATTTTTTAAAAAGAAGATTATTTGAATCCTTTGCATGGTTCAACTTGTAAATTATTTTCTTATTTATGCAAAAGTTTTTATTTTGATTGTTTAGGAGCTGTATTCTGGTATTCTGGATGGTTCGATAAGAATGTAATGCACGAGTTTATTTTCTACGCTTTTTCATACATAAATCAAAATTAACTTGTCACACGAAATTATAAAATGTTTTCTTGATGCATTATTTATCAGCAGTCACGTGATTATCAACCAAATAATGATGTACTAGTCACATTTTCTAAACATTCCTCTTCTATATTCCTGACTCACGAGTCTACAGTTTAGAATTTATGTTGCTGGAAATACAAACCTAGAATTCATTTATTTATATTTTATAAAGGGCTGGGTGCGTTTTTCGGTTTCTTTGGTTCAATCCTCCTTTACCAGATAATTCTGGTTCATTTCTAAATCAATTGTTGTCAATGGTTTTAACCATTCATAATTGATTTCTGGTAATCAGATGAGGGCAATTGTTAAGAGCCAAAGTTGTTAATGGTTCTCAAAAGATCTGAAAGTAGAAACTTCAGTTGACCAGATTTGGTTTTTTATTTACTCAGGACCAGATTTGATCAGTAGCAAGAAGTAGCTGAACTATTTCTTTTAACTTGGAAGTAGCGTATACGTGGTTCAGCTTGGTCTGAAGGGTATTTTTTTTTTATTTGGTTCCCATATCTTCAACGCTGAAGGGTCAACATTTTTAGAATCTAGTTTCAGGATTTTTATGATAAAAAATTTATGGGAGAAACCAAACCAGTTTTTCCTTCCATGTTGCAGATAAATTTTGTTTTATTAATGCCTCCTTGATTTAATTATACTATGATGTCTTTCATGCAATTAAAATTATTCTTATCAACGCATCACGCCTCAGATTTATCATCTCCATAAAGAAAGAAAAATATTCCTGAAACTTTAAAAACAACTCTTCTAGTTTGAGAAGGAATATAAAAACAAAATCACTCAAAACTCAATTTAAAAAGAAAACAGAATCCTGAATTCAACTAGAAAAGTTTATTCTCTGACAGAATGGAATTGAAGAGGAATGCTATTTTAAACTTGGGTCTAAAAAGTAAATTAATTAAATTCGACCAAATCCCACCAAAACTATTTTTACTAAATCATGGTTAACGTTCAAAGAAAATTAGATTTCTAAACATCACAAAATTTGTATTGATGATTATATGATTCTAGTTATACTTGATTCACAAGTTTATTAACAGAAAGCATGTATCTCCGTCCTAAAACTAAATTCTAATCCTGATATAAAAGTATTTTTGTTGTGTTTGATTTAGCTTGTGAATATTTAGAAACCAATATGAATATGTGATGATATTGTTTCTGTATTTATTCTATTCTGCTATAATTCTATATTTGTATTTAGAAGAAACGTAAAACAGTAATTGCCACAATCTTAACATTTAGTTTTTAATGTTCATTTATTTAGACTCGGATACTCAATTTTTTACAACAATTTCAACCGTTTTATTTACACAGTTTGCTAATTAAAATGGTTTAATTGGGTACGTTTGAAGGATTTAAATAGCAGCATCTTATTCACCTAACTTGTAAAGCAAATTATGGCTGTTTTTAGAAGTAAAATAAATTTTTTTAAGTAGTAGCTATCTTTTTTAAAATTAAAATTTGTATTTTTTTTAACTAATAAAAACACTGTTATTTTGGTTCGCAGTGTTATAAAGTTTTTGGACAGAAATTGTCTCCTTTTGGAGAAGGTTCAAGCCTTTTAAGATCTAATTTTGTCCGGAGCTTTAGCGATAACTTTATGAATCAGATTGTAGTTTTCTTCTTTATTTAACTTAACCTGTAAGATTCTGTTTCTTTTGTTCATATTAACGTTGATGTAACGAAAATATTAGAAAATTGTGAAATTATTTACTATATAGGTAACGGAATAAAGGGACTGTAAACGTAATTACAAGGGACCCAGCATTGAACGAGTTGCGTGTCTGATTCATTGTCTGAAAACTGATAGTGGAGAATGCCTTATTTTAAGGCCATGGAAATTGAGAACCGCGTACAGAACATGTGTTCCTTTTGCAAATAGAGGGCCTTGCGCACAATTGCGTCAACTGTCCCTTTAAACTGGTTCCCTATGAATGACTGTATAATAAAAAGAAAGCACTTGATACACTCTCCTTTACTCTCCAGACCAGAGATCCTTAGATGGTAATAGAAATAGATTACTTGGCATATTTGTAATTAAGTTTTTAATAAAATATAAATTGATAACTTGGCATATTTGTAATTGAGTTTTTGGGAAAATATAAAAAGTTTACTTGGCATATTTGTAATTAAGTTTTTGATAAAAAGTAACCAAGAGTTCAAATCTAAATACAGTACATTCACTGCCAGGGTCAATCGAGACATTTTTCTAGTAACTCCTATTCTTGTTAGAAATACGGAGTGTCATGTCTGATTTACAACAATAACATTTAAATCTTTGTCTGTAAATTGACACAATTTAATCCTTTTTTGTTAGAAATATGGCAATATCTTCATATTGCTTATCAGATAAGTTTAAAGGGTTACCGTTCTTAAAGATGAAGGGTGACTTAAAGTCCTTGAAGTTACGTCTTCATTACTGCTTCTCAAGTAGTGTTTACAATCAGAATTGCGCGGAATGCAAATTTTGAACGGGGAACTCTGTAGAACCAGAAGCTCGGATTTTCTAATCTTAATCACGTTACCTTTCATATTTCAAATAAGACTGTTAGATCAAATAGTCGAAATATAAAAACCAAAGTTTAACGTCATCAGGTTGCAAAGGTACAGTGACGGGAAAATTATTGCGAAAGATCAATTCCTCTGTATAAAGGTATAGTTCAGATAATATCTATATAATAAAACAAGACATTCGTATATGTATGTTATATATGTTGCGTATAGCTGGCCAAACGACTGGACCGATTGGGCTGACATTTTTATGGACACTCATGGGTTGGCGGGGGGTGTTTAAGGCTAGGAAATTCGATTTTTTTTTCTGAATATTTCTTTTATTCAAATTTTTTTCCACGGGCAACGCCGGGCACTTCATCTAGTAATAAAGTAAACATAAAGTAAAATATAATTTATTTCAAACTAATTTTTTTATATAGACAATTAAAAACCCTTGAATTAAGTAAGCAAAAAAGCACAGTGTACGTACACCCTTACGTATGCATTTAAATCACGGGCAGCCGTAGTACATTTGAATTTCCGAGCCGGGTCAACCTTTCCGGTCCCAGTTTGTACTGCATCGCCCGGACATGGGGTAAATAAAGCAGACGCTCAATAGCCTGTGCAACAAGGTTGACGCGGTCGCGGTCAGACTTCAGGTTGAATTTAATTTTACTGGAGGGTCAGAGGTGCGTGAAATGTATATACAAATATAAGCAAATATTTTGTTATCATATAATGATAACAATGCTTTTAACATACAGGATAACAATGCTGTTATCATATAATGATAACAATTCTGTTATCAGATAACAATGTTGTTATCATATAACAAAATTGTTATCAGATAGTGATAACAACATTGTTGGCATTTGCTGATTACCCAGGGTTTACTCTTCAGGATGATCTGAAATATATTGTGCCATTAATCATTCACAGCAAAAGATTACATATATATAAAGTCTCATTCTTGCATGTAGTAATAACCAGAAAACAATGGAAGAGGAAGACGATATCATAGCAATACATATGTGTATTTGATGTTGTTATAAAGCAATTAGTTTTACTAGACACTTTTTAAATCACTAATTTGTGAAATGGGTGTGTTTATGCTGCACAACTGCTGTGTCTTATGCTTAATGGACTTTTTTTAAGTTATAACTTCTTTCTAAAAGTCGTCCTTCAATTCCAAAATTTTCTGGTTGTCACGGTTTAAGAAATGAAATTGTAATTCTTTTAAGAACAAAAAAAATCTTGAAAAAAATTAGAAATAATTTTAAAAATATTTTTGTGAATGTAGAATTACCTTGTTAACTATTCCCGTATCCTTTGCTTTTTCTTTGCTTTCCTTTTATTATGCCTAAATATTATTCATTTTACATCATCACCAGTTGGTTCATTCAAAATGAACTAGCAATCAATCAATCAATCAAAATGCGAATGTTCTAATTAGGAAATGAGTTCTTTTTGCACAAACTCAGATTTTCTATTCCCTATATCTTTGTAACATGATGGCATAAATTTTTAATATTTCCAACTTCTTTGAATATTTGATAGAAGGATTGGAAAATCAAAGTTTTTTCGTATTCTGCAAAAAAAAAAAAAATGTCCGCGTTTTTCTGTTTGTGCGGGTGCATCTTCAAAACAATAAATGTCGACATTTTTTCCGGGAATTTTTTTTTATTTTGACCAGTCAAAACCCTTCCAGGGGTCATTCATGCGAGCGGCCGAAACAAATTCGGACCCGATCGATTCAGCCGTTTTTACGTTTATTGGATACAAACAAACAGACAGAAAAGCACAAAAATATAGTTTAACTGATGTAAAACATAAATAATATTGATGGTTTAAGTATTGTTCAAAGGGAAAGACTGGCTAGGTAACTCATTCAAACCGAAAGTGCAGTATTTTAGGAACAATTGAAAAGTACAACAAATAAGTAGAATTTGCTAGAATTTTAAATTGATTGATTGATTTGTTACCTGGATTTTTCCTCTCTTCAAGTAGGTTGGATTCTGTCCTGTTCTCGCTAAGTAGCTCCAGGTAGTCAGATAGTTGGGAGCAGACGGACTCCAGGGACTCAACCCGTCCACTCAACTAAACACAATCCATACTCAACCCGTCCACTCAACTAAACACAATCCATACTCAACCCATCCACTCAACTATACACAATCCATACTCAACACATCCACTCAACTATACACAATCCATACTCAACCCATTCACTCAACTATACACAATCCATACTCAACCCATCCACTCAACTATACACAATCTATATTCAACCCATCCACTCAACTAAACACATTCCATACTCAACCCATCCACTCAACTAAACACAATCCATGCTCTGCCCGTCCACTCAACTAAACAGTTAGCATAGTCCAGGTTTCCAGCTAAAACGGGATATCGTTTCGCGAAAATTTTCCATTCTTCGAAGGGGAAATCGTTTCGCCGAAAACTTCGCATTTTTTCTTATTTCGTTTTCTCGCAAAAAATCCTGAAATGTTCGCTTTTTCCCAAAATTTTGCTTTAATCAGTTTCTTAAAAAAATGCGAAATTTTCGCGAAATATGAACTGCGAAAATGTCGCGAAAAAAATTCTCTTCATTAAACATTTAAGTAAAGGAAGAGAAATTATTAATTTTGATTTAATAAAACTTTAAATGCTGAGTTATGAGGAGGGGGGGTGACCAAAAATATTTCTCTTGAACTGATCCCATAATTCATACTCGACCCATCCATGAACTAACCCAAATAATTACAAGTTTCTTGTCTACGCTGGATATTTATTTAAATGTGTTTCAACTAGCTTGAACTGATCGTATCTAAATCTTAAATTATTGAATTCTGTTAATCTTGAATAATTGCGAGATCAGGAAATCTGGCTCGGTTCGTATCAACCTCTTTTTTTCTATAAGAATTGAATCTCTATGCCACAAACTCTAATTTTCTAATCTCTATATCATAATGGCAATCAAAAGTCGTTTCATAATGGCAATCAAAAGTCGTTATATATAGATCTTTGATAATTTTAAACTTTGAATTCTAATAGATCAAATAATCGAAGTGTGATATATCAAAGGTTTTCACCTTCTGGTTGAAAATATAAAGGGATTCAAAAATTTGTGTTTGTGGTAAAGAATCAATTTCTTTCCAACTATTCCTCTTTTAACTTTTTAAAGAAAATATTTTCTAAGAGAATGAGATACTAAAATATTTATGGATTGATTTTTGTATAATAGCAAGGATCTTAATATTTATCATATTCGATCTCTCTCTCGATATGCGTTGTAATATATTTACAATGGATGGGCGTACGCATGATTTTTTAAAATTTGTTAACATTTTTGCCCTTTCAATCTGCATAGACTTTTTACATATATAAATATAATCAAATTTTCTTTAAATATTTTTGAATTTTATTTTATTTGAAGAAGTAAATGTTAAATGTTTACTTTAAGGATATTTAAACCATTAGTCTCATTTTTCATTAGAAAACCTTTTAGTATGTTCATGTTCAATTTGCAAATTTACGAAAACGTTTGAAAAATCTCAAAATTATTTGACTTTTCCTAAAATAGTTTGTGTTGTGCTGTGTAGAGTGTCCCAATAATTAATTATGGGGAAAAGTGACGAATTTGAAATCGTCGTTTTAAACGATTTTAGATTTTTGGGAAAGCTGTAATTCGTAAAATATTTCATCTGATGGAGTTTTTTGTTTGTTTTGAATGCATTTTTACTGTACTTAATAAAATGAAAAATGCCTGTATACAAACAAACAGCCTTTTCTTGTTTAAATCAAATATACTCTATCAGAGCTTGTAACTTTATTATAACCATTGAACTATTTAGATATTATAACGTTAATTCTTAAACTATTTATCGTTAATTCTTAAAACAGACATGTCAAATGTAAATATTTCAGCAATCATAATTTTTAAAAAAGAAAATTGAGAACTACAATTGAAATGTTGTTCATATTAAACATTTCTATGAAAACAAAAAGATATTTTCTAAAATATTCTAAAATCTTTTTCGACGATTTGCAAATAGAAAACCTTTGAATAACATATTTACATAGTTTGAAATTTATTCCATAAACTCTCGTACAAAAACAATTTTGAAAGTACTTTGCAAAATCTTAAACAAATTGGATGTTGTTTAGAGACTGATGTTGTTATTTCATATTTCAAGTGATATTTCATTTAAAGAGGGGGAGTACCCGATTAACAACAGTACCATTTAAACCTTTGTCTTACGATGTCGTTGTTTTAATTTTTCTGGCGTTAAGATTTCCCCAATTGTTTCTGAAGCAGATTAGTGCCCAAGTCACTCTAAAGCGAACCCACAAATGAAAATAATTATTTATCATTTTCAAACCAACATGTTATAATAGGATTATTTTATGTTTTTTTTTGCAATGCTCAGTTAGAAGTAGTCAAGCCGTAGTACGGTCGACCCTATTAAATTTCACTAAATTCGAATTAAGAATCGAAAGAATCATAACTAGACTAGCCTACCCTTAAAGGGAGTGTTCGCGAAAAATGAAAGGGGGTATAGGCTTAGGACGAAAAATACTCGCTTTTGATCGCTACTAATATTACTTCTATCCGTTGCGTCTATAAGGGGAAAATTGTTTAAAACAACTTAAACTGAAGAACGTAGCGTCCATACAAATTCAGAAAGTTGCAATATATGACTTGCATCGTAAAATTATCAATTTAATTTTAAACAAATCATTCAGATATGACAACCTTATTTTTCAACACATTCGTATTTAGTTAATATATTTCATAATATTTGTTATTTTAATTCTTTTATATACAATGCAATTAAAACTATTTTTTCCGCTAGGTGTCTCTGCCATGTGTAATCATTCAAAGCATCGAGAGCAGAGACATCAGACGGCCAACTATTTCGGCGTTTTAAGTGCATTCTATACAAAACGAATAAAAAATATTATGAAATATTAAAGGCTTTTCTTAAAGTGGCAATTTCCAAAGTCTGTCCTAGTCGCAGAGTATCAGAAACAGTGCCTATCCCCAAAAGAATCAAAACTTTTCCCCAAAGTTATTAACATATTGGGGAATTAAAGGAATCAAGTCTTTGCCACAAACTTAACATTAAACATTTAAAACTATGAAGTATATTCGATAAAAAATCTAAGTTTCCCCTGATTTACTTATTTACTTACCCTGACATATTTTACCCTGATTTACTTTACTTACCCTGACATATTTTACCCTGATTTACTTTACTTACCCTGATTTACTTATTTACTTACCCTGAATGTAAGAAATGTGAGAATGAGAAGTAGAACAAGTATACCAAGGAATAATATACAAGTTGACAGATTAGAATCTATCATATTCACAGGACTTACATCATCATCCTTAATAAACATAATATACAGGACTTACATCATCATCCTTAATAAACATATTATACAGGACCTACATCATCATCCTTAATAAACATATTATACAGGACCTACATCATCATACTTAATAAACATATTATACAGGAGCTACATCATTATCCTTAATAAACATGTTATACAGGACCTACATCTTCATCCTTAATAAACATATTATACAGGACCTACATCATCATCCTTAATAAACATGTTATACAGGACCTACATCATCATCCTTAATAAACATATTATACAGGACCTACATCATCATCCTTAATAAACATAATAAAATAATTTAGGTGTTTTGTTATTTGGAATATGGTCGGATTTCAGAAAGTATCTATACGTATTTTTCTTTCTTATGGTTTTAAGGGTTTTTAGAAAGATTTATAGAGCCAAGAATACAATATGGATTTTACTATTTCAATTTATTATAATAAACAGTTTAAGAAGATTAAAGTTGAACAAAATTAGATGTAGAAAGAAGATAGATATTTTTGCTGATTGGTGGTAACAAAATTAATGACTCACATTTAATCTTTTTGGCATAGTTTTGTCAATGTGTACTGTTGGCCTTTAAATAATTTGTTTTTAGAATTTAAAAAACTAACAAAATGGACGTTCTTCAAATTCATGCAGCCTGAGGTGCGTCTTTTATCTATTTTAATCTCCGTTCTGCACTTTAAGATTGATTTTGCAGAACGGTTTTGTTATAGGATTAGTATAGGTTAGAGACACGGAGCACCGCGAATTTTTGATAAATACCTTGAAATGTTTTTGTATTTTTATTATTGTCTGAGCAGCCTTCTCCTCCTCTGTATTCACTATATCCTAGAGAAAACAAAACATTTCTTTTTCTTTTTTCATCAATTGTTTTCAGCTAGAGAGAGAAACTTAGTTGCTAAATACCAAGTCAATATTTTAACTAAAATCAGATTGCAAAGAACGTTTTTGACCCCCTCACCCTGGGTTTTTGACCCCCTCACCCTGGGTTTTTGACCCCCTCACCCTGGGTTTTTGACCCCGTCACACTGGGTTTTTTTCTCAAACATAATTCAAAATAATTTAGCAAACTTTCACTGTTCTTATGTTCAACCCATCGAAAATGACGTAGGAAAGTTCGACCAATCAAAATTTAGAATTTAAATAATTTAAATTTTAAATATGATTAGAGCTGAAAACTTTAGAATGAGATATCCTTAATCCCGATTACTTAATCTGAGTATCCAATGAACACACTTCTGATTTTCTTCTTAATCCTCTCTTTTTGGATACCCCTCTTGTATAAAACTTACTTACAATTACAGTTATGATGCTATATCGGTTGGACTAATATCCGATTCATCTGAAGTCAGCTGTTCAAAAGCGGGCTTTTAGAGCATTTAAACAAATAAAAATTTAATCATGCTTATATGAACTTAAAACACATTTTATCACATTTGTGAACTATAGTAGTTTAGAAAGTTAGTTTTAATAAACATTAATCCAAAACTTACGTTCGTTCAGTCGATCATTAGTTCAATTGATATGACACCATCAACACCAGAAATGCGCTAAAACTAAAAAACCGGTTTTTCAAAAGTTACCACGCTGATTGGTTAAATTTTAAACTTCTTTTTTTGAATATCGAATGCGTATTAATCTTGGGTTTAGTAAAACCAGGAGTTAAAGCATTATTCTCGAAATCCACCATTCTAAAGTTTTCAGCTCTGGCTTCACTTGACTTAAGTGGACTTTTAAAAACATTTTGAAAAACAAATAAAGAATTTGAAAAAAGCACTATTTTTTTACGCCTATGGGTAAACATCAAAAAGTTTGAGCTAATTCGGTGAAGCTGTTAGGCCAGCTATAGCTATCATGTTAGGCCAGCTATAGCTATAATGTTAGGCCAGCTATAGCTATCATGTTATGAGCAAAGAGCTGTAATTAATCTATTACAAAGAAAGAAAGAAAGAAATACATTTTTCTCATTTCAATAACTTCAATAAAGCCTTAAACATAGAAATTGTTCATTCTTGTATTTGAAAATTCTTGTAAAATGCAAACTTTCCATGCATGTTAGAGCGGGACTTCCAAATATTTCAATTGTTTCTAAAGTTTTACTCATATCTGATAAAACTTTGCTAAAATATCATCAAATTTTATCGAATTTCGAAAACTTTGAAAGAATCCAATAAAAATGCTAGAATCAAGAATAAATAGAAAATATCAGGTTGTTATTTAGGAGTAACACACTTTAATAATTTATTAGAATAATCTATTACGAGGATAACAACACATTAAAAATATAAGGGGATATATAATAATTACCCTTATTACAGTGTGTGTAATAATGTATTTATGGGATTGGACGAATGTGATAGTTCGAGAGACAAGATTATTTATGATAAATTATTGTCTACAGGGATATATTATTGTCTACAGGGATATATTATTGTCTACAGGGATATATTATTGTCTACAGGGATATATTATTGTCTACAGGGATGATTAAGAAAAATAAGACTGATATGCTTCTTCAGGAAAAATATTCCCGTAACTTCTCTGAATTTTGAAAAAATGATAAATGTTTTTATAATGTATTTTTGTTTACTGTGAGACCCTTAAAACTGTGGAATAGGAAGATGGCTGTTAAACTTATTTGAAGGTTGTGTAATGAACATAAATTTTGCAATTTCACTTAATCAGTTATTTTCAATTGCTACTGAACTATTTGCTTCATAAAAATAACAAATAAACTTGAATTTGCTTAAATGTCGTTATCCTATTCCACTGTTTTATGGGTTCCATGTAAATATCTACTGGTATTTATTACCTCTTTATCCTCTCCATCTAGTCTGAGACATTTGTTGAAATGTGCTAAACATCCAGTGCACCTTAAAGGGACTGTAAGTGTAATTTCAAGTGACCCCCCCGTCCATTCACGTCCGATTCACAATTGTACACTTTAAACCGTTTTCTGCTCAAGAATGGATAAATTTCTATTTTATATTTTCTTGGATCTCTGCTGCAGAGACAATAAATAAAATTGTTAGAATTAATCACTTCAGATTACGTTGTATACTACAAAAACAATTTCCTCGAACAATGTTCAGTAAAAATTCAGAAGATCCCTGAGAAAATGTAGTGTACAGTCCAAAAAAAAAAAATCCAATTAACTAAAGAAAGAGAATGATCTTTTTAGGTAACCTTCATAGCTATATAAAAGAAAGAATGAAATGCAACATTTAACATGTAATTTTTTCCATTTTTCTAGAAAACAATTTTATCTATTTTTATATTTAAACCTTTAAAATATTGTTTATTATTTTGGACAATCTGTCTGATTGGATTTGTTTACTCCGGTCTCTAAACCGGACATATTCTCTATCCAAGGGAAAAGTGGTGTCTGTAAAAAAGGGAAATTGGAACATTTCTAAACCCTTTTGCTAAGATCAATTTCTTTAAAAAAAATATTCGAAATTATAAACTAAATGATAATATCGAATCCCTTTTTTACATTTCTAACATTCTTTTATTTTTTTTTTCGAAAAATATATACATTATTTTGACATGCTACCGGCATAGTTCTATATTAAGAAGAGATTGTTAGAATTTCTTCAAAAGTTTCTTACCGAATATCTTCATCTTCATCCTCTTCATAATTGTTCAACAGATCACTACTTCTGAAATAAAAATATTTATTTAAAATATTTAACATTTTTTTTCTAGAACAACACTTTTGTGTTTACGTAAGAATGTGACATTCAAATCCATTTTTAAAAACAAGTTTATTCTAGCAATTTTAATGATCTTTTTTATATGTTGAAAAAATAGTTTGTTTAATTTATTTCGTTTTTTGTTTTAGACAATCCTCTCCTCAACAACACCGTAAGAAAATCTATTATCGCAGAATGTATTATTTTGTGTATATATGACATTATAGAGGACGTGAGTCAGACTCTAATAAAACGCATAAATAACTTCCAGTATATATATTTCTTATAACTTATTACTAGAGGGTTCAGAACTAGAGTCAATATCGATATCGCACGTGTAGACTGTAGAGATGATATCAGTACTAATGCCCCGTATCCGTTCTATCTCATTCTGTTGAATCTTGTGGAACTAGTTTAACGCGGCCAGGCATCGTCTTCCACAACATTAAAATAACAAACATTTTCAGCATTGTTTGTTATTCTGAGTCTGAAGTCTGAATGTTTGCTCATCGACAGCCATTTATGCAAAGCCATAGTTTAGTGTTGGCAGGGGAATAAGTTTTTGCTTCACTCTCAAATTTTCTAATATATATATATATCTTTGCATTCTGATGCTGAAAACCTTTGAAGATTCAAAATTATATTATTTGATCTTACGAATTCATAGTTTAAAATATCTTAAGATCTACGACATCAGGTTGTAATGATATGGGAATAATAATATTTTTATTTGTTGCATAGACTCAACTCCAATTACCAAATAAATTGATCTTAAATTAATCAAGAGAACAGGAAAGTAGATAAAAATACCTTTAAATTACCAAAAAATCACGCAAACAGTTATCTAAACTCATCTGAAAATGCCAAAATCCTTAAAACACCCTACACGATTACCTAAAATTACCTAACATTAGATAGATAAAAATACTCAAATTACCCAACATATCATAAATTTTAAAATTTAGATAGTTTAAAATTACCAATTGCACTTTTCTTTTATGGAAAGGGAAATGAAAAAATCAGTTTCTTAAAAGTTTGTCCAAAAATAGTTTTCTAATAACTTTACTTTAAAAGTTTTCCGGAATATTCTTTTTTCTTCATTTTATATTTTGTACTCGAATTACATTTACACGAATCCATTTATTTTTTCCACATATCATATGTAAATGAGGCAAGCAATATTTTATGTCAAGAAAACCATTTGGAAATCCTTAAAACAAGATTTATTTTCTCCAGAGTCCAGGCAAATATAATTATTCCTTGATTTTGGATTCTGGAATAAAATATAATTTTGATAAACAAGCATAAATCAACTTAAAGAAATAAAAAATACCGAAATTTGGAAACTGATTTCCTATACAATGATAACCAGAAAACTCTGAAATAAGAAAACGACTTTTGGAATCAAGTTAAAACCTAAAAAGTCTAATCAACAAGAAACCAGCAAGGGTGCTGTGTAAACAGACTCATTTCACTAAATTAGTGATTTAATAAGTGTCTAGTAAAACTATTTGCTTTGTAACAACATGAAATTCACTTATGTATTGCTATAATGTCGTCTTCTATTCCACAATGTAGTATGAACCAAAAAACAGCGGAATGCAAGACGATATTAAATTAATCTCTAAATGTAGCTTTAAATTATTTATAATTTCACTGTTTACAGTGTATAATTGCTGTGCATCATATTTATTTGATATTTTACAAGTATATTGTGTCTAAAAGTCGTCTTCTCACACCACTGTATTCTATTCTGACTCTGTTTGATTACCTAAGATGTGATTCTGCATACTGTTTTCTTCTACTATGACGTCTAGATCCTGCAGACAATTATATTATAAAATTAAATTTTTATTTTAAAATGGGGGTTGTATATGGGATGGGATGGGACTGTGGTCGAATTTACAATGACCCTTCAAGCAAAGATGTCAATGGCCGATTCACAACGGTGCCCTTAACAAGAAAAAAACATTTCAAGATAAAATAAATAAAATAATTAAGAACGATACAAGAACATCTGTGTTTAAAATTCAAGTATTCAATAAAACAAAAGCTAAGGATAAAGTCAATATCTGCATTAATTGAAGTATATAAAGGAAAATCAATGTCAGGAGAAACTGACCAGGATTTCCAAACAAAGGTTCACAAACACTAATTTTCTAATCCCTATATATTTGCCACCCATGATGTCGTAGACCTTGATATTTCAAATATAGTCATAATTTGAAATATTAGAGGCTTATACCATCAGGTTTCAAATATAGAACAATTTGAACTGTACAAATTGTATTGTATTGTATTGAAAGGTGTTAATTACATCCTATTATGGCAAATTGTTCTATTTGCAATCAAATTACAAGGTGAAACTGGAAGAACTAATTTAAATACTAAATTTTCACCCACTTTTTACATTTTTATTTCTTACAATGAACTATTAGCCTAGACACTTTTAAAGGGAGTATCCCTTGCAGCGACAGTCCCTTTAAAAAGATTGATATTGCGGAACTTTAGGTTTTTATGTGACCTCGTCACTCCTCTAGTTTTCCTCTCAAGCTCAAAAGCTTTTTAAAAGGAGGAGATATCCTTTGCATGTTCAATTGAATGAAGATAATTTTGTGGAGTTTGGAGTTTTATTAATCTTTTTGAGATTGTCTAATAATTGAAACATGAAATATAAGATTAATTTTTTACATTAAAGGGATTGCACACTTTTCACGTGATAATAAAACAAATTCAAAACTTCCCTTTTTAAAGTTTATTTCTTTCTGCACTGTTTTAACTTCCTCTCGACTCCCCTTTTAACAGTTTAATCATTACTCATTTTTATCATACTTCTTTGCATACAAACTTTTTCCATTTTTTATCTTATAAACTTATATTATTATACACTTCAAAGGGTGCATCAAATTTTCTAAAGATTACAATTACGGACTGGGCCGAATTATGACAATTATATTTTTCCGTTTTTCCTTTATGCATATTACAATTTAAAAGTTTATTTTCATGCGATTAAGGGTATTGGAAAAAATCTCCAATTGTTTATATTCTTAGTAAAATGTCTTGTCAAAATGATCATTTTTTAAATTTATTGTCTCTAAAACATGCATATTGCATTGAAAAAAAACTGAAGATATTATTTGTTTTCTTTCTTGATCAGATTGATCAGATTGATCAGATTAATCAGATTGATCAGATTGATCAGATTGATCAGATTGATCAGATTAAAACAGATTGATCAGATTGATCAGATTGATGAGGTTGATGAGGTTGATCAGATTGATCAGATTGATCAGATTGATCAGATTAATCATATTATTCATATGAATTGACAAGATTGATCAAATATGTGTGACTGATGTAACATAAAGCAAACATTTAGCTTAGTATAGGACTGATTACTGATTGCAAAAAAATATCTTATTTCTGAAAGAAACTTTTTTGGTAATTTAATCTTAGTCTTGACATATTCAGAATATACTAATCTTATCTTGACTTAAACTAATTACGTTGTGTCAAAAGTATATTTAGAGGTTGGAACTTTTTTGTCATAAATCTTGGGATCAAACATTGATTTTCATCTCCTGCACAGACCAGATATACGGATTGATTTAGTTCCTAGGGATAACTGGAAAAAAGGGATAAACCGCTTTTCTCTAAAAAAAAATTTTCTCTAAACTATAAGAATATTGAACGATGAATTTATGTTTGAACCTGAACCTTCAATCAGTTGATCAGCTAAAAAGAAGATATAAGTCAGAGAAAAAAAAAATTTTGAAATTTTTGTTACAAATTTTAATTTAAAAATAAAATCTTAAAAAAAAAGTTTTTAGACTTTTGTGAGACTCCCAGAAAATGTTGCTCCTGTTAAAAATGTTATGCTTTATAAGTTGTTTTTATTACATTACGATTGATCAAAACGTTAAGTGTACAGTGTACACAGTACACAGGCCCATTTCACTAATAAATTTATTTTTAATTTACTGGTACAACTATCAGCTTTATAACAATATCAAACAGCAGAAGATTGATTAAATGTCCCTCTTCCTTTTCCACAGTTTAATTGATGTCATAATAAACTTTTGCAATTATTGTATTCCAAACATTTGGGGAAACTAGAATAAGTTCAAATATTTGCCTCTGCTATATTAGAATGTTTAAATATAAAGTTTTAATTTGTCTTAATTAATCGCTAAACTTAATTGTATTAGATTTCAATTAAGAACAATTCGAATCTAATTCCTCGAAATCTAATGTAAATATGGAATCTTAGGGACTGGTCGCTTTTCAGCTAAAGCACTAGGACATCTCATTGAATCTTGACTAAACAAAGGTCTAAATGGTACCTGTGAATCCTACATACCAATTTTATAATAGTAACTTAAAATTAATCAATTAATTCGTTGGTTATAGATAGATTTGCGCTGTACCATATTTGATCTTAAATATATTTTACTTGATTCAATTAAATTTGGTTTTTTGCTTTATCGAAGAAGACGTTTATTAAACAGTTTTCTGGTTGTATGTAAAACTGGAAAACCTAACGATTTTTTTTGTAAGTTGAAAAAGTGAAATTTAAAGTTTTTACAATATTTTCCTTGTGATTTCTGATGAGATTTCTGTGTAACAATGAATTTGTGAGAAAACTGTTGAAAAAGTTTGAAAACTTGTTGAAAAATTTTCTAAGTTAATTTCCCATATCTTCTTGTTTTCTGCTTCAGAGAACATTTTTGAAATTTGTTTTTTAAGTTTTTCACAAACAATTTATTATATTTCATTTTAAAGTTTTATTCTTAACTTTCTTATTTTTTTTCTTAAAGGAGCTGTAAAATTTGATTTAATATATAATTTATTTTTAAGAATGTTACAGGCCAATTTAAAAATTTCAGAAGGAATTTGGGTTTCTGTAAAAGCAGAAAACAAGAATAAAACAATTTTTGATTTGTTATTAAAAAGTCTCCCGCAAAATCTTTCCAAACAGACTTGTATAAATAAATAGCCATGAATATGCGGAACAGTTTTAAAGAGCTTCATAAAATCATTACGGTAATTATTCCCAAAACCTTCCCAGAAACAGATACATAGAAAAATAAACAGTTTATAAAGGGATAGTTTATTTATTTGGCTAAAGATGAGGGGTACCACTTTAGTAATTTAGGGAGATAATTCTTTTTTAGTTTTTTAGTCTTCATATAGATATTACTTTTAGTGTTTTACGTAGCACATAATTTCGACTAAGAATAAAGATGAAATAAATCTAATAAGAAATATTCTTGAATATCTTACAGATAAATAATTCCAAAAATACTGAACTACGTAAAACCTGTATCAGGTATAAAAACAGATTATCTGTTGAATAATTGATACCCTCCACAATTCTTCACTAGAAAGGGATTTTTCATCCCGTTTTAACTTATATAATCTGTATTTGAACTGTACAGGTTGCTCAGCTGATTAAAATCCGGTACATGAAATGAACCGGTGTCATGTTATAAGTGTCCGGGCGTGTCGAGATAATTTCCGAGTACTGTGTTTCGGCCGTAAACATCTAATATAAAATATATGAATATTTTAGATAAATTCGTTTACATTTTAAACAACTAATTTTAACATAACTTTTGATTGTGTAAGGGATAGAAGTTAGTTTATTCATGTTTTTAAATTCTTTGAAAATAGGACATTCGAGACGAAATATCGTCTTTTACATATTTTTGGTATTGACACATTTGATTTGCTAATTTAACTATATGTTTACGTCAGCAGATGTTTATCAATGCATCCATAATATGTTGGTGAAAGTGTCCAAATCTTCATGAAGTGCCCCTCTACCCGGGCAATATTTCACGCCCGGGCACTTTTTAACCCCTCACCTGAGTTTACATTGACAAAAACCCAAATATCATGAACGATCCCTTAAATAAGATGGTACAGAGTTGAAAACCAATTTTTAGATTTGATAAAATTCTTGTTTTCCTGGGTTCGTTGATGCTCTTTCCTGCACGCTTCTTTCGAAACATTTTCCAGACCTGGGGACTCAGAATACTTCTCTTCCTTCAAGTCAAACTAATTTAAAGGGACTTTACACGTAATTTCAAGAGAGTCTCCATTTATTATTTTATCCACTGAAGTGATTGTTGTTGATAAATTTGTTTTTGTTTCACATTAATTTTTACTTTCCGGGATTTTTGAAAATAAATATTTTCGGATTTTTAAATTTGCGTTGGACATTAAGTATTTGTGATTTTCGAGATATAGGTCAAGTTATCTCTGCCTAACAGTCAACACTCCAGCATCTTAGTTTAATTGAAACGCCATGTTTAAAGTGAAAAACACAAATTTCTCCGTCGATAATCAATCAGACAAAGCTAGCTTAATTGTAAAATTGCGAAAAAGATGTCACTCTATAAACAAAGTAAACTTCAGATTACGTCTACAGTTCCTTTACGAATATTAAAAAATGTATAGAATAAAAACACGATGGAAAGCTAGCGGAGTACTCAGCTAGATTATTTATGTTCAATGCTTAACTTGAATGGACCGTCAGTGTAATTTCAAGTATTTCTTCATTCAAAGAAAGTTAGAAACAATCACAAATGAAAATTAATTTTTAGATTTGAGTTCCTTGCTACAGTTCGTACTCCTCAGGGATAATCTCTGGTTTATACACTGTCCAGGGATACGGTTCTAAAACAAACATTTTAAACGAGATTTATTCCAGAAATTATTACAGGGACTGTAAGCTTGAGTCTAAGTTAACCTCCATGTAAAGATGGCAATGACAAGTATGCTTAAAAGCTTTGTCTTGTCAAGTATTAATTTTTTAAATTTATAATTTTAAAAACTGATTACTTTCAACTGTGGTTTCTATAAAAAGTGATTATCGTCTTGCGTATTTCTATTGTATAAAAAATGATGAGCCTGTGAAGACGACCTAAAGCTATTAACGTATGACGATTCTAAACTAAGTTTTCTGTCTTGAATAAAGTAGTTTAATGCCTTATTAAATGATTTTGAAAAGAATGAAACAATGTTACAGTTGCAGGGTTGCAAGGTTACAATTACAGGGTTTCCAGTGAAAAGAAGAAATAGTTTTGCGAAAATTTCGCATTTTTTCGCGAAATATTTTACTTATTTTAATTGATTTCATATTTTGACCAAAGGAGGTCATTGATATCTAGAGGTCAAATACCTTCAGGATCGTCTATGACAAGAATTTGGACTCTAAATGAAAACGAAACACAAATAAACCTATGATTTAATACCTCACATGACTTATTTTCATTGATCTCATATTTTGACCCCTAGAGGTAAGCACATTTTGGAGGTCAAACCTCCAGATTCATCTGAGGTCAGAAAAAGTCTCAGGATGAAATCGGAAGACCGAAAAATTTATGATTTGATACCTACCCTGACCCATTTTTGTTGTTTCATATTTTTACTTTTTTAGAGGTCATTATCGAAGGGAGGTCAAACTTGAGGTCGTATATATGTGTCTATGTCAGCGCCTGACTTATATGGTAACAAAAAATATGAAAACATGTCTTATTAACTTATAATAATTGAGCTAGAGTGAAAAAAGTGGTAATTTTGCGTATTTTCTGAGTTCATGGAGGTCAAAATGGAGGTTGATAATCTCCGATCTCATATTTTCTTCCTGATCTTCGTAGATGATTACAATTACAGATTGCATGCAAAATTTTAGCCTTATCTATATATAAATTTGGCTTGTCTGTCTGTCTGTCTGTCTGTCTGTTTGTTTGTATCCAATGAACGTCAAAACGGCTGAACCGATCGGGCCCAAATTTTTTGTGGGACATCTAGGGACCCCAGGGAAGGTTTATGAAAAATCAAAATTTCAAATATTTGTCTCAATCAAAATTCGATCGTCATTAAATTTTTAAAAATTTTGAAAATCCGCGAAATTTTTTGTGAAAATCCGCGAATTATTTTTTGTTTTGTTTTACGATGTACACAAAAAGAACATGTTCACAACTAATTTAGAAGATGGGCGCGAAGCGCCCTCTAAGGCTAGAAAGAAGGGCGCGAAGCGCCTTGAATTTCTAGTATCTTAAATTCTAGGACCAATCCCAGCCTCAAAATTTGGTGTCGCAAATTGTCAAATTGGATCCCCCCCCCCTCTGTATTAAATTATGAAAAACTATTTATTTTGTGTCCAGGACATGAAAGATATTCTTTATTTGCTGACTCGGCTCTACTCACCAAAAACAAAGTTTGATGAAAGTAGGTTCTACATTTTAAAGGTTTTTTTTCAAACGTAATGGGACCAAACTTAATGGAACCAAATTTAATGGGACCAAACTTAATGGGACCAAACTTAATGGGACCAAACTTAATGAGACCAAACTTAATGAGACCAAACTTAATGAGACCAAACTTAATGGGACCAAACTTAATGGGACCAAACTTAATGGGACCAAACTTAATGGGAAATTTTCTCTTTATCGAGAAGGTACAAGCCTTTTTAGATTTAATGTCGTCCCGTGCTTGAGCTAGAGACAAAATTAAATCTAAAAAGGCGGAACCTTCGAGATACAGAGAAAATTTAAGTTCAAAAACTTTGTAGCACGTCATGCCAAAATACTAGCGTTAGGTAATTTTATGCAATTTGTCTTATTTCAATGGCCATTCCTACACCAAATAAGCGTTGAAACAAAGCAGAAGTCAAAATATAAAGTTGATATCAATTCTATTTTTATTTCAATTGAAAAAAAAATATTTTGGAAATATCTTAAACTTTTTTGAGAAAATCCGGGAATCAATCAAAACTGTATAGCACATGTTAAGTAATATACAGCTAATTTAACAATATATCACGATGATTACTTTATAGCACGGTGCTATAATATACAGATAATTTAACTTTATACCACGATGATTACTTTAAAGCACGTTGATTATAAAATTCACGATGAAGTGAGTAATAATAAGAAAGTACAAAATAAATAAATAAAATTTTTTTTACATTTTAAAACATTTTTAAATTCTTTACCTGATTTGTCCATGTATTTGAATTTGAATATCGTTGTTCAATACAATGGTCAATTTCATATTCCAGATCGGGTTCTTTTTCTATCCTATGATTGTGAACAAGCTTCAAGTCTCTAGATTCAAAATACATTTTACATTTAGGGAAATATAAAACTTTTCAGATTTTTGATTTAACGATCGTTTTTTTTTTACTTTGTTACCAAGTATTTTAAGAATTTCCTAATCAATAATCATTTTAAATGCAGGCCCATTGTAACCCAGCTTTGTTTTCCATTTGAAGGTATGACGTTAATGATCGTTAACGATCGTCAAAAAGTAAAAACGACCATCCTTCGCTATGGAACCAACGAATTAAATTTAAAAAACTACTATTTCGTTTTATTATCTTAACAACCGATCATTTCGTTTTTTGTTTTTCTACGTTAAGGAAACAATCCGTTCGTTTTTTCAGAAAAATAAAAAAAAACGTTCCAGCCTGATGTGAAATATATTATTTTTTTAGGCTGCTGGTAAAATATTTGCTATTAAACAACACCAAATACACATTCTTAAACTACGTGTTTCTATCGCACAGTTGTATGGTTCCCATTGAATGTAAAATGTTTGCCTTGGAGATGTTTCTCTAGAACGCGTCTGCTGTCCTCCTCCTCCCCCCACCATTCGAACCGATACAGGACTTAACTCTCTCAGAACAGTGCGTTGACTTAGCTCGCGCATTTTTGTATTTTGCTCCGCGGATTCTTTCCTTGGTGTTACAACTCCCCCTGGATGTACTTCAACTTGTAAAGATCCAATCTTGTAAGAAGAGTCTAGGTTCACTGTTCTCAGATTCAACATTTTAAACTGAACACAGCTTTGCAATTTGAAAAGTTTAATTTCCTCTTTTCAGAAGGAATTCTCCCTACACTGTTCAAATATCAGCAAAAAACCTGTATTTTATTTCTTAATGTGAATCAACCAACTTAAAGGGACTGTAAGCGTATATTTTAAGTGAACCTCCGTGCACAGATAGCAATGCCTGATTTACAAGGCTACCCTAGAAACCTAAATCTGACCAAGAATTGTGGAACAATTTTCGAGTTAAAAAGTTTTCTTTCTTTTCACTATAAAAGTGGTTTTTTTTCTGTGAATTTCTTCATTGTTTCTTATGAGCGAGAAATTTACACAAGTCACAATTTAACCGAGTAACCACAAATGAAATTATCTTTTTAATACTTTATCAGACAAAGCTGAGGGTACCGTTGTAAATCGGACATTGTCATCTTTGAGTGGAGGGTCACTTGAAATTACGCTTACAGTCCCTTTAAACTATGATTATATTTGTTGTACAAATAGATAAATCATAAAAATCTGATATTTTAGAAGTGTCTAAGGAATTATTTATAGATATATAGTCAAAGACGACATTATTGGTCGTTTTTAAAATAAACTAAAATAATTTTTAAAAATTTAACAATCATCACAAATTATGATTTTCTCATTACTGAATCTTTGCCATCGAAATATTACATATTAAACATTGATTGCTGTTCCATATACTGTCAGCTATAGTATGGATTAAAGGTTTACACCATCAGGCTGCAAAGATATAGAGATTAGAGTTTGTGGCAAGTGTTTAGTTTCTGTTGTCCTTGTTTGAATAAATTTTTCTTGAAAATGTAAAAAACACATTATTTTTGAGATATTTAAAATGTTTCCTGATCCTGTATTCATTGTTATAGAGTTTTGTGAATTTATCTCTTTAGAACATTTTAATCTAAATTAAATCAAAATTAAAATTCTCTTTTGTTCCAACTTTGTTTCCATTCTCTTTATAGTAAATACTAGGTATGAGAAACAATAAACACAAGCATAATACAATCAAGGGCGCAGGAATTTGTCCAAGATTGTAAATTAAAGAAGAAACGATTTAGAAAGCGGTCGGTCGTTAAATAAAATACAGACGATAATACCGCATACATATTTTCTCGTACCAGCCCGTCTAGTGGAACCCAGCATATTATATTCAAATTTACAGACTGAAATAGAAACAATCGTTTTGAACGAAAAATAATCGTTTTTAACGGTAGTTTTTAAAAAACGATAATTTTTGAAAAATTGTTCGCTAATGAATCTGAGTTTTATGACAATTAATTTAGATTTTTTTCAGGAAGATAAGTTTATGAATGTTGTCTTCAATATTTTTATAATGTATATTTGAATAATGAATATTTGAATTATAGATTGATTAATGTTAACTGAGGTAGTAAGCTGTAATTAAGCTGTGCACCTATAATTACTTACATTAGGTGACGAGGACAAGGATATGAAGGATATGAAGGATATGAAGGATATGAAGGATATGAAGGATATGAAGGATATGAAGGATATGAAGGATATGAAGGATATGAAGGATATTAAGAAGTCTGTGGACAATGTCATGGCTGCGGAAGGCCACAGGTGTTGGATTAAATTGTTTTATGGGATTTCTGATCTATTGATTTTTTTTCGGCCAAGAAATTGATTTTTTCTTAAAAGATCATGCACGATCTCTAACGAAGGGTCGTCGTTAACGATCGTCAAAAATGAAAAACAGTTTATTTTCGTTTGATCTTTTTAAAAACTATCGTTTTTAAAACGACCGTTTTAAAACGAAACTATCGTTTCTCAAAGAAGTGAAAACGATCCATAACTTCTTAACTTTCAGAGTCTACTTATAATGTCAAGTTAAAGGTTAAAAATAACGAAATAACCCTACAAGCAAAGATGGTAATGCCTGATTTATATTGGATATCAATATTATACATTTTTTAAAACTGATTCTTTTCAATAGTGACTTCTCAATAAAAGTGACCTGTGCATTTCTTTTACAGAAATAGAAATACGAATGATCAGAAATAACACTTTTAAATCGAAAAGACGACAATATATTCCAAGCATTATTGATCCAATTAAGGGTTCAAGGGTATCGTTGTGAATCGGGTATTGCCATATTTGCATGAAGGGTCACTGAAAAGTTAAGCTTACAGTCCCTGTATGAGATTTTCTGGTAAATATAAGTCTATTACATTAAACACACTGTTTTCCCATACACTCAAATTTTGCTATTCCTAAAAAAAACAATTGTTTGTTTTGGTCCAATTCTGATCAACAACAAGTAAACAAACAAAACTTGAATAACATTATTTAGGGTTTAAAAATTTTATATTTTGCTGTTTAGATATTCATATTTTAAGAGACTGCACGTCGTAGTATTAAAGGACCTTATATTTAAAGAGGGCACTGGGATTTATAGGTCTAAAGCTCTCAAGAAAAAATCGATTACAATTTTGACCAAAGCTGACAACAAGAGCTTTATAGTGCTAAAATGTACATGAAAAGAGCTACAGAAAAGCATAAGTGAGTTAGAGCGGTAAGATCAAAGTTTAAGGCGTTGCGACACTGCAAAGTCGACCCTGTCTTAAAAATTGATGAAACTTTTCATAAGCAGGCTGAATCTGTGTGAGGGGCATGTCCATCCGGTTTACAATAATGTGGAAGATTTTCTCGCTAGAAAAGTGTTTAATTCTAATAAATTCTTTATTGTTTCCCAAACCCCTTCAGTAGAGAAACCTCTGATGAAAGTTGTCAGTTTTCAAAAATAAAAACATGGATATCTAATTAATACTTGATCAGACAAAGCTTTTGTTGTGAATCTGTCAATAGCGGGTAACTGGAAATTACGTTCTTTTCCTTCTTTAAAATAAAAAGTCGTGAAATTCTATAAATTTTCCAATATTTTCACCTAATCCTGTAATCCTGTTACCAGTTTCCAATTTATGGATCAAAGACTTTAATTTAACTTAAACAAAAATTTAACCTTTGTCGTCAGTTGTACAGTACAAGATGCACTATACTGTTCTACAGTACAAGATGCACTATATACTGTTCTACAGTACAACATGCCCTATACAGTTGTACACTACAACATGCACTATACTGTTGTACAGTACACAACATGCACCATACTGTTGTACAGTACAACATTCACTATACTGTTGTACAGCACAACATGCCCTGTACTGTTGTACAGTACAACATGTACTATACTGTTGTACAGTAAAACATGCACCATACTGTTGTACAGTACAACATTCACTATACTGTTGTACAGCACAACATGCACTATACTGTTGTACAGTACAACATGTGCTATACTGTTGTACAGTACAACATGTCCTATACTGTTGTACAGTACAACATGCACTATACTGTTGTACAGTACAAGATGCACTATACTGTTGTTTTTATGTTCACAACTAATAGTCGTCTTCCCATTCCCAGTTTTGAGTCCCACTGAATATAAATAAGTAATTTGATTACACGGGGCAATAAGATTATTAAAAGAAGAAGGTTCTGAATCTAGAATATAGAACATTGATCCAAGATGTAAATCTGATGATAATTCAATCAGGATTAAATATGAACAAATATTTATTTAAAAAAAAATAGTTTTCACGTTATCGCTAAGCATGAAAAAAACTTTGGTTTTTTCTCACAGAAATCGAGAGAGCTCTGGAAATTAGGAATTAGGTCGACTTTGAAGTGTCGTATTAGCTTTACATAACAAAGTTAGTTATACTTTTTGTAACCCTTGACATGCGTAAGAGCATGCAGACTTTAGATTAAAGTGGTCTTGTTAAAAATATCGATGTGAGCTTGAGATTATCAAGGATGTAATGCAAGGAAAGTTATTTCAGAAGTGTACACATCTTTTGTACTGCAGTGTACTGTCTCTGGGCGGTAATGTAAACACAACACGGATGTCAAAGCCTGACATGGGATCCATCTTTCACATAAAAAAATTAATGATATATTCTGGTCATAGGAAACTATTATGTGAATTATCAAAAGTATCAAAATTTAATGCTCGGATACTAAGCAAACACTGATGCATCTATTCTTGTTTACATATTCCACCCAAAGAGAACTGGTTTCAATGTGTACGCAGAGTATACACGACCGCAATTAACTTTCCTTGCATTATACCCTTGGAGATTATTATTTATTCATATCTTTCAATTTTATGACAGAAAGGGGTAATGAAGACTAATCTTAGACTAAAGTTTAAAGTATATTTATATGCATGTGAAGTTGTTTTTGAAGATTAAACCGAATTAAAAATATAATTGTGTTTATACCGTTTAGCATTTTTACTCAAATATTCATAGTTCATTAATAATTACAAAGTTAATCACGTTCACAATCAAACAAATAATTAAAGAAACATATAATGTTTATGAATTAAATAAAACAGCTGAAAGGGACTGTCCACATAATTTCAAGTGAACTTTAATTTTAAAAAGTCCACGTCAGAATAACAATGGGACTGTTTAAGTCGGGTCAGTCCTAGAGAACGAGTTTTGGACCCGCCCCCCCCCCCCCTCCTATCAATTTTGTCCATGACCACTTATTTTTCAGCAAATTTATTATTATTTATTTTTTATTATTTAGGGTTAGGTTAGGTTAAGACACTTTCTGGGTCAAGCGCTGCGGCTAGGACAGGCTAGGGGCCGAGCACTGCGGCCACATATTTTCGTTTGATCTTTTTAAAAACTATCGTTTTTAAAACGACCGTTTTAAAACGAAACTATCGTTTCTCAAAGAAGTGAAAACGATCCATAACTTGAGCTTGCAGCTCAGAGGGCAGTCCTTTTAATCTATTTAATCTATGAGCTTGCAGCTCAGAGGGCAGTCCTTTTAATCTATTTAATCTATGCGCTTGCCGCTCAGAGGGCAGTCCTTTTAATCTATTTAATCTATGAGCTTGTAGCGTTGCTTTATTACCATTTACCAGGAATAACTGTGATGTAATTAATCTACTTTATCAATTAAAC